TCAGCTGATCTTGTTTCTTCAGACTTCAAACTGTAGGCATCTGAATCCTCTCCCAGATGGGTTTCAGCTGAGCAGGGTAGTCTCACCAACACCTCCAAGTTGTTGGGTTTCACAGGATCAGCACCTGGGCCCTGGGTTGTCCTCAGACGGAGTGTTCAGATTCGTTCTGGTTCCAACCCACGGAGATAGCTTCTTCCCCAGGTGTTGGGGTTAGGGGCGTCCCTGTTCCAAGCTGCGTCTGCTTGTCTCCGTCCCTGGGCCTGTCTACCTCTGCGGTTCGCCACCGCTGGGCCTGTATGTTCCTGTCAGCTGCCGCTGGGTCTGTCTGCCTCTGCTGCTGCCACCGGGCCTGTATGTCCCTGTCGGCCGCTGCCACCGGGCCCGTCTACCTCTGCGGGCCGCCGCTGCAGGCCTACCTGTGTCTGCTTCTTTCTCCTCTTTTTAAAATGATTTATTTTACTTTTGTTGTTGTTGTTGTTGTTGTGTGTGTGTGTGTGTGTGTGTGTGTGTGTCTGTCTGTCTGTCTGTCTGTTTGTGTGCAGCACACATATGTGTGCCTGTGGAGTCCAGAATGGTGTCAGATCTCCTGGAACTGGAATTACAGGTGGTTATGAGCTTCCTAATGTAGGTGCTAGGAGCCGAACTCCATCCTCTGGAAGAGCAGTAAGTGCTCCTAACCCCTGAGTCTTCTCTCTAGCCGCCTGTAGGAGGAAGGTGAAGGCCCTACTGAATACGTACTGTTCACATGGGCAAGGCCATGTCCAAGACCCCAATGCCTTAGACTCATGGAAATAGCAAGCCTTCCTCAGGTCAGGCTCAGGCAAAATTGCAAAGCCTTCCCCGATCCATTTGTGGATGCTAATAGTGTGTGTAGAAACCATGGGCTGCTTCCTCTTCCGGGATGTTTATAGTCAAAGACGGCTCCCCTGTGGAGACTACAGGGAACCCTGCTTCCTCTTCCGGGATGTTTATAGTCAAAGACGGCTCCCCTGTGGAGACTACAGAGAAACCCGCTTCCTTGCTCCCTTGTACACATCAACTTGGTCTCCTCCTTTAGCTCTCTACAAGAAACTTGCTCCCCAGATTGAGATTTATAAGAGATGTATAAAGTAGACACACGGAGTTTCCTGGACGCTGGCGCTTCTCCATCAGAATGCAGAGCGCACCAGACCTGAGCCTTTTTGGATATGTGTCTGCTGTTTCTCCATTCCCGTCACCCTGGTCAGGTCAGGCCTGAAGCTGTGCAGGGTTTTAGTTCTACCTCATAGGCAAGTTCTTCATTCTCATCTTTAAATGCTTATATTATTGGATTCCTGCTAAGATTGTTTTGTCTTTCATTGATCTCTCCAACTCTACTCTATCATTAAAAATACCCCGATTCTTTATTTAGAAATACTGTTTTTCCAATCTCTGTAAAATACAGATTCTTCCTTTCTTTCCTCCTTCCTGAATTTTCTCCGGTGCCTCATCCTCTGATGTCCTTACTTCCTGTTTGTCCCTGCTTCCCACACATGAGATCTACCTGTCTATCCTCTGGTCTTGGTGGGCTAATCAGCTGCCATCAGTCACTTTAGAAAAAGAAGGTAAAGAGCTTTTCTCCCACTACTCTAAAAGTTAGTATCTGTACATTTAATTTTTCTAAAGGCAACTTTTTCAAACTCTTTCTTGGGAGTATAAAACACACTGGCAGCATTTGGGGAGCCATTTGGGGAAGGCTTGTTTTTATGTGTGTGTGAAGGTGAATGTGTGTGCCCTCACAAGTATTTTTACCAGCACACAGGCTGTGCAAACTCTTCCTCCTTTGCTGCAGGGCTGAGGCCTGCCTGTGGGGGAGGTGTCAGGCCCTCAAGACTTCTTGTACATTATTGAAGGACCGGCCTTAATAATATACTTCCCAGGGGCTCAGAAGAGAAACTACCAACAGAGAGAACTATTTTTTCAGGAAAAAGAATCTCAGCACACAGAGCTCTTTAGTCCATTTCTTTAATCCTCTCTCAGTCTCTAGCTTTACAGTTATAAACCCAAACAATATGTAATCCTCCCCCTCCAGCCAGGTCACCAGGCCTGAATTCCTGCAAGGTCATAAAGGCAGGTAAGAGTTTTCCTCAGGCAGTGACTGTCAGGCCTTCTTTTACAATCCAAAATGGGAGTGGTAAAGGAGGAGGTCAACTGAGTGCTAATGACTGGCTAGTATGTCAAAAAGGGGATCTGTGTGCTCTGTCTACATTCCTAGAAATAGTTAGGTAAGAAGTTAGGGGTCCATTAGTAAGGTTGTATAAGGAAGAAGGGTCTCACCCTAAATTGCACAAGAAATAAAGCTATCCACCTGACCTAGGAGACAGGTGTTTCATTTGGCCTTGGATGTTTAGGTCTGTTCTTAGAGAGTACAGAGGTGTCTCTGGTAAGATACTTTCATCCCTCTGGGGATGGTCCTGGCCAGATGCTGTCAATGACGATAATTACAGAAAGGCCTGCAATTAGGGATCCTGGCTGGTTACTGCTCAGAAGGTTATCCAAATACTTCTTTAATAGAAGGGAAATTGTGACCAAAGAATGCTGGAAAAGCTACAATAGCACACGAGAAGCTCATAGCAGGAAATGGCTAATAATCAAAAGCCAAATATCACCAAGGCTCCTTGAGCCTCAGCTTGACCTCTGGAAGGCCGTTGGCATAATCAGCCGAAATCCTACTTGACATTATTGTGGCTTGTAGCAAAGACTCTTCCTCTCTTTTCAGCAGTCCTGTTCTCAGCTCTGCCATGTGCCTCTAGCCTGTGGTCCTGCCTGGGTTTCTAATCTTTCTGGGCTCTGTGGGGTTGATGGCTAATTTTGATAATGCTCCCCACAGTAGGTTAAGAATGCAGCAGCCTCTGCTCTGCTCTGCTCTCTCTGACCCAGTTACACACACTCCTGGCCATCTCTTATTTGCTGGCTTCTTTTCCCTTGATCTATTCAATCTTGGGGGCTTATTGCATTTTTAAATTTTTTTATTGTCATTTTGGGGAACTTTGGGAGAAGCACTTATAAATATTCAAGCTGAAGCCTTGCATTTTATTCTAAATGCATTACCTGTGTTTCATTAATGTGGCTTTGGGGGTAATAATTCAAGTACACTTTAGGGTCCAGCTACATTTTAAACTGGTGACACACACACCTTCCCCAGCAGATAGAAAGCACCAAACAACCGGGGACTCTCACTCTCCCAAACTGAGACTTACCAACTTTGTAATGTATACAGCCTTCCAGGTCCCCGACTGTGATCCAGCCCTGCTTCTTTTCCACTTCCGGGTCATTGTGCAGTATTCTATTTCTTAACCAGGAAAGATAGTAAACACGGAGCTTATTCTTCTTTCCTGTTGGAATAACAGAGTTTTCAACTCAAGCTCTGTGATAACCTTTTCTCCATCTTCCCTCACCTCATCTAGATTGTTGCTGGTATCCGTGTGTTTGTGAGGGCAGATTAACCCGTGTTCCTGCTCTGCCTCACACCCACCTCTGTCAGGACTTGAAACAACAGACCCTACTGTTTTGGTCAAAACTCACTAACTGTACTTTTTACCTTTAAGCAACTTCTCATTTGAGGAAGCTACTCTACTCTCTCTTCCCAGGTCTGCTGAATGTGATAAGTTCTAACTCTGTAACAGAGTTCCAGAACATTCTAGAGCTAATCTGATGAAGGCATGTTGACAAATGGGCATTTTAGCCTACCTATGTGTGTCCTCTAATTTTCTGTCCCCTCTCTTTACCTCCTCTGTCACATCAAAGACAATTGTTAAAAGTTTCATTTAGCTGGTAAGACAAAGGAAGTTAACAGAAGAAAAAAAAATTCAGTAAAGCAATTTGAGTTTAGAGAACGATATTGGACAAAGTTATGGTGTTGAGGTCACCAAAAAGAATACTAAATAAAAACATCAAAGAAGGGAAAGATGTGGACTTGGAATTTTTTAAAAAAGATTAAAAGTTCCCTTTCTCAGGAAGATAAAACTTGATGGTATACAAGGCTTATGGAGAGCAAAAGGAATCCACTCCACTGGGTTATTTGAGTACCAGAGAGAAAATGCACATCTCTATGGCTCTTTCTTAATGAGAAATTTAGGCTGGTGCCCTCTTTCTCTCAGTATTTTCCATTCCTTTAAGGGGGTTTTCTGTTCTACAGACAAGATGTGCACTAGAAGAGAATCCACGAGAGCGTCCCTCACTGAATCCATGAGAGCATCCCTCACTGATTGGACAGAGGACTGCAGCAAGGCTTACTCTGGGGGAAACACACACAGTGCCATTTGTCTGTGTAAGCAGAAGCCTAGAGCCCAGGTGCTCAGGACAGCTCCAGGAGCAGAACCAGTGCTCCATCTTCTGGGGAGAATAGGACCTGAACAGTTCAAGAATCTCCTTTCTTATTTTGATGATCTCTTTTCTCCCTTTGTGTCCATGAGAAGCACAAATAGTGCTACACTGAAGGATGAAGACTTGTCATTAGCAGCAAAATAGAGCCTGCTTGAATTTTCTGGTAGCATTTCCACTTTGGATAGATGACAGACAGATGCATTGTTTCTGTTTTGGTTTGGGAGTGTAGAAATCAAGGAAGCAATTGACCAGAAACAAAAAACACATAGAATTCAACTCAAGTCACAGTATAAGAACAATTTACTTGGTTAACCTTTATTTGCAACAACAAGAATCTAAACACTCAGGAGAGCAAAGAGGGAAATCCGTGCCAAGGGACTGCGTTTTCTCAAACCGCAGCACCCCTGCGGAGTGAGACTTCCATCGTCAGGGCTCAACCCAGAAGTCCTACGTGGGCCTCTTTGCACAATAAACATGAATAGTAGAGCTCATAAACCATGTATTATGTAGGTTGCATGATGGGAAAGTGTCAGAGCCCTCAATACCGAATGCCTGCACCTTATCCCAGAGACTGACTGTGGTCTAGGGGGCAGCTTGGGTTATCACAGCTTTCAAGCGGTTCTAACATGTAAGTAGTACTGTGGTTTCATAGCTGATGAAATAAAAAGGGAGGAGTGTAATTTGTTCAACTCTTTCAAACACCATCAAGAAGAAAAAAACACCTTCTTATCAATAAAGAGACTCCACTTGTATTTTTTCACTGGTTAATAATGAGGCTTACTTGTCTACCAAGGTCTTTCCCCCATTTAAGAAGCTATTGATGGTATAAACATGCACTGGTGAGGATGTCTCCACTCTATCCTCTCTATAGGTAACCGAGAAGTACAACTGTCCTTAGAACATCAGTGGATTATAAGCAGACATCTTGAGAAAACAGAGACACCTGCTTGCTAATTCACCTCCCAGAAGCCTTCATTTTGGTAATCTTCATCTCAGAGTAGGATAGTACCGCAGTGCAGACAGCTTAATAAGATTCTGCCTGAGCTTTAAGGGATGCAAAAGCCAAAATACATAGCTTTTGTGACCAGGTCTGCCTCACTCAGGTTTAATGCGCACAGGTAAGTCCTCCTGTGGAGGCCAGGCCCTCCAGCATTTCAACACGCATGGGTGATCTCCCCCAGCTACAGTGCTGGGCAGGGAGTCTTCAGAGAGCAGGCTGCCACCTTCCCACCTGAGCACACCTGGGGGCAGCTCAGCTTGCTAACATACCTGATATCGTCACAAGAACATTTAGTCCTTCTAGTACGTCCATCTGCTGGAACCGCCTCCGGTTGATCAGATTGTAGACTTTGCCTTGGCCGCTTCTGTCCAAAAGCATCAGGCCATTCTCAGTTCCCACCAGAAGGTTCACACCTGCAAATTTAAGAAGCACACAAGAACTGGGTTTTTATGGGCCTCAACCAGTTTTACCTGGATCCCTACGAAGCCCAGAAAACTGTTTCATGCCAATGTAAACAAACGGGCAAGTAAGTGTTATGGTTGATAGTGTAGAGACAGAAGGTCCAGCTCACTAATTACATCCCTGTTCCTCCGATAACAGAAGTACAATTTTAATTTTTGAAGTGGAAGCAGCAATACACCACACCTGTCCATTTACAGAGAGTATTTGCCAAGGGGAGCCTCAGGCAGAGGTGGGTAAATAAGCAAAATTGCTCTTTCCCCTTATGGAGTCTCTTCTTCCTTGGTGCTCCCTGGATGTTCAGCTTCTTTCTTCCTAGAACAGCCCCCCCCCCATCTACTCATCCAGTGGTTTTGGAGCAGCTGACCTAGCCAGCCGCCTTCAAAACACAGAAGTTTCCACCTCTGTACCCTGTCAGCATGGAAGCCTTGCCTCGTCCTTACACATACACGGGAGGTTCTGGTCTTAGGAGGGGAAACTGATAAGCCAGTCAAGGCGAAGCTGAGTCATAGAAATACTGATTTTAAAGAATTCTCAGTTACCTAATTCTACCCAGCACTCTGTAAGCAGTGGTCCTTATCCTTAAAGCTAGAAGATAAGTAATTTCATCTGGATAAGTATAATCCTAGAAGTTCATACCTAAAAATTAGTCATCCACTTGTTAAGATGTACCTCCATCGAGACATTCACTGTGCAGTTGGTCCTAAACATCTCTTGGTCTACATCTGTCTTCTGAAAACATGAATATCTACTTGTCAAGCCCCATCATGTTAAATGTGGTTATTTTGTTCTCCAAATCTCATCTTCATACTGCAGAACCGTTGTGTCTCAGATGAAACAATTACTAGACTTCAATATTTGTCCCTGCTAACTGGCAAATGCCTTTAATCCTATAAAATTATGACATCCCAATCTAAGCCTGGCAATGGAGATGGTTCAGTTGGACCACATCCTGATTTTTCTGGTGCTGTAAGTAATATAGCTTAAGACCTTGATAAACTCTCGCCCACCTACACTAGGTGTGAACCCAGCCAGTGTCTTCAGATCTACTTGATGAGAACTTCACACTGATGTTCTCAACTGAAGAGGGAGGCTCCCCACTTGCTGCTCTTTTCAAGTTTCACCCAGTTACTGCTGAGTCCGGGGCCTCGGGTGAGTCACCCAAGTATGCTGGGCTTGTTCTTCACCTGTAATGCTACATGGATCACAGAGATCGAACATGGGGTGCCACGTGCAGTGCTAGACACATAGTGCCTGAGTATTAAGGGGTGGCTGGTTCTGTGGTTGATATTTACTCAGTGCTCTACATGCCATCTTGAGTACAAGGTCTTCATATATAAAACCTACTTTTGGTCACTCCTGAGGCGTCCCACACCAGTTCCCTCACACCTGTGATTATCCTAGTGTTTTCTGATGATAAAAGCCATAGGCTTTTTAACACTTTAAGGTAAGCTGATTAGTGAGCGCGCGCGTGCGCGTGCGGGGGGGGGGGGGACACGACAAACAAACGAACAAACCACCAAACCAACATACCCCACAGAGCTGCACAGAGTATTTCGGAATTGAAGCGTTTCTTGTATTTTCTGATTTCCGGCGTATCACTATGAGGGCGAATGTTGGTTGGGTTCACATTTACCACTGAAATCTTCCTCGCTTCATTGAGTTTAGCCTGTTCTTGCCTAAGAAGCTCGCTAGTAAACAGGGCTTCGAGAGAAAGAATGAGAGAAGTCAATAGCATCTTAACAGCCAGCCAGTGGAAGCATGGGGGAGGGCTTGGCTTGGGGTGTCTTATAGTGAAGGCACAGGAATCATGAGTATTTTAGACTTGTTTTAGTAGGATAAAGCATGTCATCCACAGAAGCAAAACGCCTTTGGGTGGTGTAGAAAATTAATATTAATCTAATAGAGTCAAATACACCATTCCTGTAACTGCAAACAAGGAGCAGTCCTTTGGGAGATTCCACATAAGCTGACTTCAATGATTAGTGAGCTGCAGAAGGCAAGGAATAAGGCCATCCTCTTAGTGAGCCAGACCTGTGACGGAAGCGCACGCCTGGAACTCAACCCAGCTCAGCAAGCATTTATGGAGTGCTCAGCACCACATTACTTCCAGCATAGCATTATACCCAGAAACTGTTTTTGAGAAATATGTGGTAGGTTTGGAGATCGCTGCGGGGTGGCTTTTCCTAGTATCCTGGGATACCTCTGTGTTTCTTCCAGAAACATAATAGGAAAAAAAATCAGGGTTGGGGGAGAAAATAATTTGCTTTTGGAGTTCCACAAAGTAATCCATTTTAAGACAGGGCATCAGCAATAAATGGTGTAACCCGAGTTGGTGAGTCTTGTCCCTGGGGTGTACAGGAAAGGAAACCTGTTTCTAAAACTCCAGCCAGGGTCCGCTTGCTTACCAGCAGCGGATGACTCGTCATCTTCTTCATCTTCATCAGTGGGTGACGTCTGGTACACTCTGGGGTCCACGAAGGGGGTGAAGGAGGCTTTGGTACTGCCCCCCATGCCATACTGATCAAAGAGAGAAGGAGAACTCAGTGTTGCGGCACAGGAGGCACTGGCCTTGCTCTGCCCGGCTTTGCCACTGACCAGACTCCTCTGTGCTGGCCGTTCACTCTCCAGGCAGAGCGTGGGCCTCTGTCCAGTCTCTCCTAGTTCTGGTTAGTCTCCAGAAGGTATATTGTAGGCACTATACCTTGAAGGCTTACTTTAAATAAATCCTAAGGGCTCAGACTGTACCATAAAGGCATGAAATCAGAACTAGATTGGGGAATAATATATTCAATATTAGTACTTGGTGTCATAATGTAATTGAATTTGTCAAAAGAGGTGCTATAACTATTTGCCCATTTTGTCTGTTATCATCTTTCCTTCTACAGTACCCATTGTGTGTGTGTGTGTGTGTGTGTGTGTGTGTGTGTATGTATGTGTGTGTGTGTGTGTGTGATATGTGTGGGTCAGAGGTCCCTATCAGGTGTCTTCCTTTATCCCTCATCTACCTCACCTTTTGAGATAGCATTTGACTGAGCTCACAGCTCATCCATATGGCTTGCTTGGCTGACCAATTGAGACTTTCTGCTTCCCCCTCCTCTGGTGCTGGGGCACAGCCACACGCCACCACATTTACATGCATTCTGGGGATCAGAACTCAGGTCCTCATGCTTGTGAGGCGGGCATTTTACCAACAGAGCCGTCTCCCCGGCTCCCCACTCACCCCTTCAGTATCACAAACACCAGTATTCAACATCTGGAGAACCCTTTGTGGGGATTCCTATTTTAGACACACATTTTTAGTTTTGTTATTAGAGGGTTTTTTTTAAAATAAAGCAACATTCCTAAGCCCTAATCATATAAGGATAAACTTGCAAATATCCAGTTTGATTTCCTAACTCCAAAAGACCCTACTTGATTCCCCTCAAGATTTTCCCTCTACCCTTTGGAGTCAAATTCCTTCCACCCTCCTCACATTTAGCCCCTCCACAAAGCAGTCCTGCACATTTTCTCTTTCATCTTTAGGAGTCCAGAGAGCAGATGATAAAACATTTCCTCCTGGAGCCAGAAAGGCAACAGCATTTGGACCAGAGTTCTGCAGGGGCCTTTAGGTGAAAATGGCTGCCACACTGCAGGAGCTGTGCTTTCCAGATGCTCATGAGTTCCTGTCCTTGGGACATGTGAAGAGCATGTACATCACAGAAATCCAGCGTGGGGGTAATGTCAAAGCCAACAGTGCACATGCTCTGTGAAAACATTGAGGGCCTTATGTGTGAGTCACAGGACCACCATGAAACATGACAGCCTTGAATTCATCCAGCGATGCCCAAGAACTGCCTGTGCTCACTCAGGTTCTCCTAGGACTGCTCCCACATAGGTAAGACATCTTATTTCATCTTCTTGCTGCAACTTGGAGAAAGAGCCAATCTCTTGTTCATTTATTAAACAGTAGAAACCTATGCTGTGGATATTGCTCTATATTAATAAAACACTGATTGGCCAATAGCCAGATAGGAAGTATAGGCAGGACTAACAGAGAGGAGAACTGAGGAAACAGGAAGGGAAGGGAGAGACTGCTAGAGCCACCACCAGGACAAAGAAGATGTAAGGTGCCAATAAGCCACGAGCCATGTGGCAAAGTATCGATTAATAAAAATGGGCTAAATATAAGAGTAAGAGCTAGACAATGATGGGCCTGAGCTAATGGCCAAGCAGTTTAAATAATATAAGCGTCTGTATGTTTATTTTATAAGTGGGCTAAGGGACTGCTGGGGCTTGGTGGGACCTGGAGAGAAAACTCCAGCTACAGACCTATATTTCATAAACAAACCATTTCAACTTCACTTTATTCAGGTCACTATTAGGTTGACTAAACCAATGGAAATATGAGTCACAACTGTTGGCTTTGAAACCTCACTCGTCTATAGTTTCTCCCACTGGCTTGGGACACGGGAGGTCCAAGCACTGTTGTAACTAGCTGTGTGTCCTGGACAAGTCATCCAACCTCTCTAAGTTTCAACACTCTAGTACCATCCACAACACAGGAACCCGGCCAGATGATGTGTGGGAACGTTTTGTTGCTGTATCTGTGTGGCTTCTCTGAGTATTGGCATCAGTAGCTACACAGCAGAAACCACACAGAGTCTGACAGAACGTGGTGTTTGACTACATCAAGGCCTGGAGCCCCATGGAGGAGAACGGAACTTTCATGGCTACTTCCGGGCACCTACTTCAGTTCCAGAGTCCATCTCCTGGGAATGGGTGGAGACACGACCCAGTCCCTCGGTGGGAGTCCCGGCTGGGGAATGGCTCTGCTGCACAAGGTCTGGGAGGTTGATGTGACCCGCGAAGCCATTGCTGTCAGTGTGGCCAGATCGCTTCTTCTCTTCAGCCGTCTGAGGGGGACAGCATACAGAGGCCATGAGAAGAGAGGAGAGAGAGAGCAAACTGAGGAGTGACGTCACTCCACACATTCGAGTGTAACAGGCTCCAAACTGATCTACCAGGGAATATAAGATGCTACACAGATCAATACCTCTCCACAGATGAAGGGCCTCCAAATTGATTTACTAGGAGTATAGGATGGTAGTACTGAAATTTCTACTTTGTCTAAGACATGAAGAATTGTTAATATTTAGTAAGTGGACCGACTTTCAGGACTTATGCTGCTGTGTGAGGGATGCCATAAGATGGAGGGCAGAGTCAGGACCAGATCTGCCAAATTTCTCTTCTGCAGCATGTATGCATGTGTGCATCACTGGATGACTGGATTTACAGACCATACTGTCAGATTATATAGAACCGATTGCTCAAATCCAACTGAAAAAAAGCACTGGAGTGAAATAATACCAATACCCCCCCCCACACACACACACAAAGAACCTGTATTTCAAGAAGATGCAGAGGTATTATTTACCCAAATCACAGGGTTCTTTGCCATTCATAAAGTCAAAACAATGATCAATCAGGTCTGACAGGAGTCCCAAATCACTGAAATGACCTAGCAGACCATTTGAAATAGAGACTTCAATTCTCCCCTTCATTAGCGTCCACCCTTTCAGCAAATGACTGCTGCACCTTGAGACGTAGGCAAGAAAGAGTTAGTCATCATGACCGGAAAGGGACTTGAAATACTGTTCATAGCATTCCTTTGAACATCCCTTCCAGATGATGTATAATGTGGGGCTAGAAAGATGGCTCAGTGGTTAAGAGTGCATACTGCTCTTGCAAATGACCCAAGTTCAGTTCCCTGCACCCACACCAGGTGGCTGCTCACAATTGTGTGTAACTCCAGCTTGAGGACATCCAATGTTATATGACCTCTGTGGGCACCAATGTTATATGAACTCTGTGGGCACCTGCTCTCCTGTGCACACACCCACACATATACACACATGATTGAAACAAAAAGAATCTTTTAAAAGGTACTTTAAAATGCATATATGATGCAGTGGGACAGAACTATGTACACGTTCTATGAATATGATCTAAAATTGTTATGGATAGGAGTGTGTGAGTTAAATGTTTCCAAGCCACTGCTCCAGAAATCAGCCTCCTCCTAAATCCAGGGAACAAAAAGGATTCAGAGGAAACCCCCAATGCCTGTGCATCTCATTGGCTAGTTCTGTAACCCCTGCTCCCCTGAGTGTAATTTAGCACTCACAGATCAACCACTCTCCATGTTGCTAACTGTGCCCCATCCGGTCTCTGGTGGATCTTTCTAGTCTCAGCTTGTGTGAGATCACTGCTTTAGTTTCCAGATATGAGAGAGAGAGCATGTGACTACTATTTCACTTGATATAATGATCCCCAATACCACCTACCATGTCATAAGTAACCAGAATTCACTTTTCTTATGGCTAAAGAGCTTTGCATTTTGTGTGCAGACCACAGCTTCCTGGTCAGTTTCTAAGGAGATGGACACTTAGGTGGTTTTCACTCTCTGGCAGGTGAGAATCGTGCTGGCATGGGAATTAAAATGGCTCTTTGACACTGATTTCATCTGCTCTGGAAGGTCCCCCAGTAGTAGGGTTCTGGGTCACATGGTTGTTCTATTTTTAATTATTAAATGACATTACATCAAGAATATGCCTAGTCCCTTTCTCCACATCCTTGTTGGAACACGCTACGTTCAGTATTTTGAATAATAGCCACTCTAATTTATTTTTTTATTTTTATTTGGTTTTGATTTCCATCTCCTTGACAACTAATGATTTTGACAACTAATAATGGAATATTTTTCCATGTGTCCAGTAGCCATTTACACATGCCCTTTCAAAAAATCCCTGTTGTCCACTTACAAATTATTATTGTTATTTTTCTGTTGTGGCTTCTGAGTTCCTTAACTGTCAGATGTAAATACACTGGTGAGTGCGTCCCTGTCCTGTAGGCTGCCCCCATGGCTAACTACGCCCTTTGGTGTGCACAGCGCTTCACTTTCAAGTTTGTGTGTAACCAGTTCACTAAGGATTCCTAGGGCAGACCCCAGCAATGATTTCCTCTTCCTTTCACACTCCCGTCTCCTTTCCTTCCCTGTCTCCTAGCTCAGCATTGCTGAGTGCCTACTAAATATGAACGGGTTTGCTTAACAGGAAGAGATGGGAATACGGCAAGTATGTCCCCCACCCTTTAGGGTTGGTATTGGCAAGAAGGCATGCCATTTCTTTGGCCCCTTCCCTGGCCCAGTGTGACGATATCATCATCAACCCGAATGGATTTGGGGTCACTCAGGAGACTCTTTGCTCAGACACTTGGTCAGAGTGAAAGGAAGTGAGCACACTCAGCTTTCCCCAGACTCTGCACACTGTATAGTGTATGTACACATCGTACAGTGTACGGTGCACAGTGCAGGAGCACAGTGTATAGTCTCTGGCCCGTACTTGCCTCTGTCAGGAAATATAAGTAGCTACTTTGTTGTGTATAAGACAAAACAGACTCCCAAGATCCCAAAGGAGTGTGATTCATCTATAAGGAAGCTTGAGAAATGACCGGAAAGCTTAGCATCATCTGTTTCTTGGACTACCAACTGTCCCAACGAGGGTCCTTTTCTCAATCCATTTTGTCACAGTGTTCACTGGGAGCCGCAAGGGTGCAAATGCTCAGCGATGAGCATTTCATCTTCTAAGTGACATTTCGGGAGTTCAGCTCTCATCCATCTTAGCGTTCCTGCCTTTTATGTTTGCTACACAGCTTTTCTTCCTTCTAACTTCCATTCGGCACTGGAAAGCTTCTGACATTTCCCCCCAACTTCCCCAAAGCATAAATCACACCTTGTCACTTTAGAGGTTTTCAGTTTCTCTTCTATCACTGGCATTTTCTCCCAGGTCTTGAGATTGATGAAGACACACTGGTTATTAAGGAAAGACTTGAAAGGCTAGCTAGAGGTGGAGCTCAGAGCTTGAGACGCCTGGAGCAATGCCCCTTGAATCTACCCACTTTGGAGTCATCATCTCTCGGTTCAATCAGCCTGCATCCTCTCAAGAAATGCCTTCTGTGTTCTGTGCTGTCTCCTGGGAACAGAAAGTAACTGACCCTTGCTAAGAGAATCTCAACCTCTCTGATTTTGATAGCCTCACCATTCCCATGAGGACGAGCACAAACATGTTCTGTATTCCAATGTACGCCAGGTACTGTGCTAAACACTCTGCACCAGGGGCCACTGACTCCTCATAGGAGCACCATGGGCTAGCTTTCATCAGCCCCACCTTACAGATGGGAAAAGGACAGTGCAAGACGGCCAAGTCACTTTTCTCAAGGCTTGAAGTCTAGGCGGTGTGGTGGTGGAGTCCAGCAGGGCTGGGATGCACTGTTGCACTATGGGAGCTCTGCTGTGATAGCTTCCTGACCCAGGAGTGGAACCTGTGACAGGGACCAAATTCCCAGTCTGACTGACCGTGAGGACCGACGTTTGTTAGCAGCCAGACTGGGCTGTGGTGAGGATCTGTAACAGTGTAAGAAGAGATGAGAGCACAAGTGTGTGGAGCGGGGAAAGCGGGTCTGTGGAGAGATAAGAGAGAGGGGAGGAGGCAAGCGAAGGTGAGGGCAAGGAGAGGCAGGCAGCCTCTAAGCCCGCGGCTCTTCTTAGCTTCAGCTTCCACCTCCACACAGGTACCCCACTCACTTTGTTTTGAGTTCCTTCCATGGAATATGCATGTAAATGGTTGGTGAATTTTAACCCTTTGTGTGTTGTCTACAACTCCCCTCGTTTCCCCCTTAAACTCTGTAAAAGTGTGTTCTTTCTTTTTTATTTATCTTTTTTATTTCTAATAAAAAGAGGCTTCATGGCACAAACCAGTGTTCTCATTCAGTTGGGTAGGTGGATAGATACTGGACAGAACACAAATAGCTTCAGGAAAGTACTATGGACAGAGGTCCACTGGGTCCCAGGAAAAGGCTTCCAGAAGGAAAAGCTGGGTCAGAAAAGGATGGGAAGAAGAAAAGCAGGAGAATGCTTCCAGGAGACAGGCAATGGTAGACAAGATGGCCGGTAAGAGCTGAGGTGGCTCGCTCTAGTGGGGAAGAAAACGGGTCTATGAAGTGTAAGACGAGGCAGGGGAAAGAGAGCTGCCAGGGTGTGCACCACAGGGCACTTTGTATGTGATATAAGCACAGGGAGTATGGCCAATATAGTCTTCTAGAACTTTCTCTTCTACTCACACAAGAATGAATTGAGTGAGTTCCTGATGGCCACCCTGTGGAAGTGAACTCACAGTGTCCTATAAGCTAAATCTTGCCATAATAAGACAAAGTTTAATTTTTTTTACTTTAGCCTCAATTAATTTTTTAAATACATATGTTTTTAATGTTTTTTTTTTTAACCTTATGGCTTGTTTGATGGTTAACTGTATGTGCCAACTGAACTGAGCCATGAGGTGCCCAGATTAAACCTTATTTCTGGGTGTGTCTGTCACATTGTTTCTGAGCATCAAGGAGACAAGCTTTTGAATCGGAGTTGGTAGGTAGATTATCATTCCCAAATTATGTTAATAAGAACCATGAGGTCCATAATAGAACGAAGGGCAGCAGAAGAAATAAATGTAGTATGTGATACGTGTGGGTATATTTGTGAAGGTGGGCCTATGTGACAAGGCCTGCCTATAGAGGTCACAGGACAGCCTTGGCTGCCGGTCCTCACCTTCCGGCTTAGTTAGGCAGTCTCTCGCTGGTCAGTGCTGTGTGGTCCAGGCTGGCTGAGCCCCAGCCTCTGGGGGCTCTCTCGCCCCTGCCTCGCATCTCATCATAGAAGCACTGGGATTACATGTGCATGCTATCAGTTCTGGCTTTCCGGAAGGGGAGTTCTGGAGTCCCAGACTCAGGTCCTCTTGCTGGTGTGGCCAATGTTTTTGACCTGCTGAGCTGTGCCTGCAGCTCACGACTTGCCTATTCTCAGTCCCTGCTTTCAACTTGGGTTGGGACATTGGATCTCATCTTTACCCACTTCTGCACTGGGAGTCATCCTACCACAGACCACAGGTGCAGGGGGCATGAGACTTCTTGTCCTCCACAGTCACACAAACCACCTTCCCATAATCTCTCTCTCTCTCTCTCTCTCTCTCTCTCTCTCTATATATATATATATATATATATATATATATATATATATATATTCTATCTATCTACACACACATACACACATATACATATACACACATATATTATATACATACATACATATAAATACAGTATCTTGATTAATATGGCTGTTATACTAAGACCCCACACTTTGGGGCTGAGGGGCTGAGGACATGGCTTAGACGGTAAAGTTCTAGCCTTGCAAAAAGACCTGAGTTCAATCCCCAAGACTGATACCATTTCAGAGTTTGGGTGGCAGAGGCAGGTGGCCTCTGGGCTTGTTGGCCCAGACAGCTTAGCTTATTTGGTAAGCCCTGGGCCAGTGAGAGACCTTGTCTCAAAAAAAGAAAGAAGTGGATGGCACTTGGGGAAAGACACCCAAGGTAGTCCCCTGGCCTCAACATATGTACATATGCATTGGCACAAACTTACATGCACATATAATAATAATAATGAAAAAAACCAACTAAAAACCTATACTTGGTAAAAACAGAATTTGGTAACTGAGGGTCCCTCCACAGATAAACTTCACACAAGACACAGGTGCATGTGACTTTGGAAGTGCTGGTGATTGTGGTCCTCAAATGCTGGACGCTTTGAATAATATGGAATCACTGGGTATGGTTGGCAACAGAAATGAATATGCAGCTCTAAATGTCTCCTTGGAGATACTGACTGTTGTAAACACCCAGGCATGTTAGGAACTGCGCTGTTTCCATTTGGAGTTAAAGAGTAACTCACTCTAGAGCATCTCCCTTGTGTGGTAAGCTCTGGTAGAACCCTCTACCCTGGTATTAAAATAACCCTTCATGATGCCGGGAGCTTTATATACCTGCAGCACACAATGCCAGCGCTGCCAGCCAAGTCTGTTCTTTATCGCAGGCATACGTGAAAACATCCTTTAAAGTCCACTTCAAAGATTCGACATGGCCATAAAATAAAATCTAGCAAGCTGCTGTGCGAGCTAGTCATCTAGTTATAGCCGCACTGCAAATTTTACTTCAAAGGCCTCATTCATCTCGAAACTACACTTTCTTTCTTCCTGACTAGAGAGAGGCCCTCTGCCTTCCTGGAGAGGACAGTCTGTGAATGGAGTTTCCTAGCCCTATCCTGTCGGAAGAGGGGGAATGACCATGTCGTCTGTTTATGCTTTAGAGGCAAGAGTGAGTTGTAATAAGAGGCAAGAGGAGTCGGGAGTTTTTGGTGATAATGAAATAAAATAACCTTTACCGAATACCTAAATTTACTAAGTAGCCCATTTCATGTTGTCAATCATCCTACAAAACATATGGTATTATTTATGGTGTTTTTTTTTTGTTTTGTTTTGTTTTTTCGAGATAGGGATGGTATTATTTATGAAGGTGTGTGTGTGTGTGTGTGTGTGTGTGTGTGTGTGTGTGTGTGTGTGTAAAATTGATACAAGGTACTTTCTTTGATTTCTCTCCTCTTTGTTAGCTGTGGCAGGGTCTGTCTCCTGACCAGAGCTTGCCAATTCTGGCTCGTCAAAGTAACCAGGGATTTCCTGTCTCTGACTCCTGAGATTTCAAGTGGTTGCCACACCTGTGTGGCTCGCTCTCTCTCTCCTCTCTCTCTCTCTCTCTCTCTCTCTCTCTCTCTCTCTCTCTCTCTCTTTCTCTCTCTCTCTCTCTCGGAGATCTAAATTCTTGTCTTCAGACTTGTGTGACAAGCACTTTATCCACTGGGCTATCTCCGTAACCTATTTATGAGATTTCACAGAGGATAAACAGATGTAGGAAAGAGGTGGTGATGTTACCCAATGCTCCTCGCCATGATTTTCTTCTCAGACTTGCATGCAATGAGAAGAGAAGATAGGTTCTGATTTCTGGAGCACTTCAGGTCAGCAAAGCCACCACCAGGGCACAGTGGAAGGACAGGTGAAAGGGAGCAGGTGCTTCCCACCAAATGAAATCATGTCCACACTTAATGAACAAAAGCCATTTCTAAGGGCTGGAGATGGCCCAGCATTAAGAGCACTGGCTGTTCTTCCAGAGGACCTGGTTTCCATTCCCGGTATCCACACAGCAACTCACAACTGCCTGCAACCCAGGCACAGGGGATCCCTCTTCTGGCCTCTGTAGACATTAGACATGCACCTGGTACATAGACATACATACAGGCACAACACCCATGCATATAAAAAATAACTAAATAAAAATTTAAAAATCCCTCAAAATTCAAAGATGAAAATAAACACAAAGGTATACTTCTTAGCTGAATTTTGTGTTCTCTAGCCCCAGCTGCTTACTATCTTTTTTTCAAATGTTAATTTAATGAGATACAAAGATAGCACAGTTTCTTGGAACTACTGAGCATTTTACATGAAATGCATAAGGGTGAAATCACGGGGGAAGAGGCTAACAAAATCACCATTTCTATCGAGAGAGGGCCTTCATTTCTGTTTTCCTGGTGTTTGGAACATCTGCGTTTTTCCAGTTTTATGTCCTCGGGCTCAGATTTGATACTCTGATTTGCATAGCTCCTATTGAAGAATTGGGCCTAGTGAAATTAAGTCACTCTGCAGAAACTTGGGAGGACAGAGGAAAGGAGATGGCAGACAAAATCACTCAACCGCTTAGAAGCACAGGTTCCCAGCCTCCCCAGCCAGCCACTTACAATATATGCGATAAGGCTTCTATCCAAAAGCTTGACCAGGAAAACCACTTAAGGACTGCGTTTCCTTGTGACGGCTGTACACCAGCTCACCTCTCTGATCATTAAGGTTCCTTCTCTTGAAATACTGCCGCCAAAGGTGTCGGCATGCGAAGTCTCCAGCCCGTGCGTCCCGACCATCCCCACGTTGTACTGCTCGTTACTCCCTGGAGCTCCTGTTGGTCTGAGATGAGAAGGAACAGTGGTCACGAGACAAGGTGTAAACTCATTCTACAACGGAATCCCATGAAATGTAACACCATTTCCTGCCCACAGCCACTTCTCACTGCAGCAAATGTGCATGGCATGGCATTTGCCATTTACATGATTTGTGTGACTTGCAGTGACTTTGAGGACATCCTGCATTAACACACCTAGATCGGAGTTTGTTTCTGCGGGATCTTGACCTATATTGTACCCTATTCCTGCTCTCCAAGGAAAAACTGATGCAATCAGCGTTCAGGGTTCTGAGGCACTACTGACTCCTCTGGCCCCACGACCTTCTGTGACGAATGGGCACCCTGACCTACCTCTGCCCTCGCTACCCTCTGCTTGGCTCTTGGCTGGCTCCTCTTTCCTCCATTTTTATTGAGAGACAGATACTTTATGGAACACCATCTCAAGACTCACATCCAGTCCACCAACCTTCACTCTTCTTCTTGTCATTTGCAATGCCTTTCAGATATACTCAACACACACACACACACACACACACACACACACACACACACACACACACACACTTATCATGTGGGAGGAGCTGGAGTTGGTTTTCATCCTAAAGAAAGTTATCTACTTCTTCTGAGACAAGGTCTCTTTTGGCCTGGAGCTCACCAATTAGGCTGGGTTGGCTGGTCAGTGAGCCCCAGGGATCGCCTCTTGTTGTCAAGAAGTGGGATTAGAAGCATGTGCCACCATGCCTTGCATTTTTATATGGGTTCTGGGAATTGAACCCAGGTCCTCACGCGTGCAAGCAAGCGCTTTATTGAATGAACTATCCCCTTGGTCCCCAAGATTTTCAGTTCTTTAGCCTGTAATCTCTTCATTTCCTCCTTCATTAGAACACATGCTTGTCTTTTTGTTTATCGATACACACCCAGGTCAGTATCAACTTGATTTATCCATGTTCTGTGATCAAAGTGTGTGGTACCTTTAGCAAAAGGTTCCTAGCATCAAGTTCTGGTGGGAATCAAGAGCAGTGGCAAGGTCTGGGGTGGGGGTGGGTCTATTTTAAAGGTTTAAATTTTACTGAAAAGATTTATTTGTCAATTGTTAGTCAATAGCAAATATTATCATGCATACCATCACCCACTGTTTATTTTAATATTTGCTAAACATTTTTAACTGAGACTACATTTTTTTGCTTGAGTCAGTTTTTACACTTGGACTTTTCTGGGACAGCACTGACTCACCTGTTATAAATTTTAGACTGTTTCAAGTTATAGTTTATATTATCTCAATCAAAAATATTCCCTATAGATGGAATAAAAGGCAATCTGTATTTATTCCTTAGTTTATTTGCTTCTAATACAGTAAACAACTCCTTTTAGGTGGCCCAGACAGCCCTGCCACATAGGATCATTTGGTTATGAACATTTTGCATATATATTTTTAGGTTCTGTGCCTCTTATATTAATTGCCTCTGCATGTGCCATGACACCACCATGTGTTCAACATAATGTAATGGCTTTGATTGCAAGAAATTTCCAAGACTCTACACATTCAAATCACCTCCCTACACATTTCCTTTCAAAGGGCAAAGCCCAGCCCACAGTTCCCAGTCAGGGGTTGAAGACCCTGTTTTCACACAGCAGCCCTGAGTCAGTCACTTATTCTTCCTGTTCCCTGGCCCTTCTCTGGTCTTCCTTTTCTTTTGCTCTTCTGTGCCCATTTCCTTTGTGGGCTGTCCTTAACTGCAAGGGGTCTCTGAGACTCTGTTTCATTTTGTGTAATCTTTTAGCATGCTCTCTTATCTATGGCCTTGATTATGACCAGTCACTTACTTTTTCTGCCTCCACTTGGGTATTTATATACCGGGTGGCAGCTGGGGTCATGACCTTTCTTGGGTAGTAGTCATTTGAATGAGTAACTTTAAAACCATTGGTTGATTGTGTTCATTCTGACCCCCTCTCTGGTTCTCCCATGTTCAACCCAGGCCTTCCTATTGTGCTTCCTAACTGCAGCTCAAATATTTTCTGTTCTTCTTTTAAAGTGACTCAATGAGGTTGGCTTCCTCGCTTTCATTAATGGCAGTCTTCACTTTCAAGTTCACTGCACAACTGACTGTGTTTTTATTTCTTCCAACATTCAGTAGCTCTCTGTCAACTGTGGTTAAAAGTTAAAGATCTTTACGATAGCTTTAAAGGTATCATCGGGTCCCTGTCTCTAAGGGAACTTTAAAAGCAAATCCTGTCCTCTTCTAACTCTAGCAACATTTAACTTACAGTTGTTTTCTGTGCATATCATATGACAAAACCCTGAGTGGTCCAGGTCTGATCTGTTTCCCAGTCCCCTTCTTTCTTATCCTCTGCCTTCCCTTAGACAACACATTTTTAAGCACAGGGGACAGTTCAGATGGCTCCCTGCTCTGTTTCCATGTAGTTCTCTGAGCATCTCTACCACTACATCAACACGTGGTCCTTCAGCAATCAGATCTCATCCGTGCATATGTCCTCGGTGTTGTGTGATGAGTGTGACATTCAAGAGGCACCTAGTGAGTGTTCAGTACATGACTGGAAGGCTTTTCTTAGTGCCCCTAGTAGTGATTTTATTCTGGGTTTTGATTAGAGTCAAAGCATAGGTCTTTTGTAAATTGATGAGTGACTAGCTATAAAGATAATTACTAGCATGCTTAAATGCACTATGCAACCAATGCCGACTTCTGTTATCTTACATCTAAAAGGGCATCTTTGGTACTGGATTCACTAGGATGTACCAACATAATTTTTGAAAATCCAGTGGTTAGTATGGGAAAGCAAAATAATTCTATTTAGATAGTCATAGGACTTTAGAGGGCAAAGAATTAATTCTAAGGTATATACACTTAAACAGGGTTGGTTGGTGCTGGAGAGATGGCTCAGCGATTAAGTGTACTTGTAGAGTTTTCAAAGGACTGGGGTTCAATTTCCAGTGCCCACATGGTAACTAATAATCATCCCTAAATCCCCTGATTTCCACCAGGCACATACACGGTGCACAAATATACGTGCAGGCAGAACATGCATATGTGTAAAATAGTAAATAAATCTAAAAAACATAAAAATCAGTAAATTTAAAATGAGGTTAAAGGCTTCCAGTAAGTATGTAAACTGCGACACAAGCATCTGTTTTAGACATATATGAACTACTTCAATGAAGAGGGAAGCGGGGAAGAGGCGCTGGCCTAAGCAACCTCAGAATCCCAAAGAGGAGCAGTCGACCATACGCCTAATTAATCTTTAACACTTGTTCCCAAACAGGAACACAGTCTGAGAAGCCTTCTCAGCCAAGAGGAGTCTAGGAAGTGGTGACAACTAAATGCAGTGAGGTAGGAGAGAAGGCCATGAAAGCTAAAGCAGGCTTGGCCAACCTGGCCAGTCCATGTCAGGGCTGCTCCCTAATAGAACACATGCAATGCGGATGTAAGAGATTCTTCCTGGAGACTGTGACGGGGCAGAAGCAATGAACTCTGTTACCAATTGATTTTCCTATAAATCTGCAACTACTGCAACAATAAAGGAATGGAAAGAAAATGAAAACAAAAATGATACGGCTAGAACAACAAATATCACCTCTTACCGTGTTAACTTTCCATCATTCTAGAAGTAATTTTCCTTCATATAGAGATTGGGTAGGAAAACTTAGCTATCCAAAGTTCTATGAAGATTGTGAAAGGCAAATCAAATCAAAACAAGCAATAAAATCCTACCATTGATTCAAATGAAAAAAATACAGGAAATTTCCTGTAATTAGAGTACTGGTTTGGAACAATAATTCCTCCTAATTGGATTTGTCCAAGTGCTCCTGGAGGTACTGATTTAATTCAATTCAATTCAATTTAATACGTGCTTTTGGGGCACCTGCTTTCTGGAAGATCCTTGGTTTGGTAGAGGGTAGTGGATAGAAAATCTGGGACCATGTGATTCCTCAACGAAAGCGCTTAGCCTCACCAAGAGCATAGGAGAGCTACAGATCTATTCGTAAACAAGGGAGGACTTCAGGAAGAAAGGGGTCGGCTGGGTTTCATGGCTCCAAGGAAAGGACACTGGAAAAGGCACTGCATTTGATGGCTGCCCCAGTTTTGTTTGGCTAGAATGTGTTAGGGCAATCATTGGTTGCAGGAATACAAGGGTTTGTAGGGACTTAGGGATAAAGCATGAACAGTCACCCTAGAGCATGAAAATGCACAGGAGGGCAAAGAACTTACAAAGAAGCACTGTAGTAGCTGAGGAAGTGGGCAATGGGTTGGAACCATGGTGTTTTAGTGAGAACAGAAGGAGGAAAAAGAAAGCTATATGACCTTCTTTTTCTAGGTGGCATCGTGAGGCTGATAAAATGAACTGTGTTAGGACTACATGGTCACCATTTGGACTTACATTTTTATTAAAAATTATTTTCATTTATGTGTATTTGTGAGTGTATGCCCCATCTGTGTGGGTGCCTGTGGAGGGCAGGAGAGGGTGTTGGATCCTAGAAGCTGGAGTTACAGGCTACAGTGAGTCACTGGATGTAAGCATCAAGCCTATACTCCACCCTCTGGAAGAGTGGTGAAGGTTCTTAATCACTGAGCCATCTGGTCAACCCACAGCCAGTGCCTTACTGTCTGAAGTCTGGATGGGACTGCGGGGAGGGCACTGACACAAAGGGCGCCTCTTTGGCTGGCTTGCTCCACAGGATGCAAACTGACCTGGTTCTTCCCATTATGTCAACCCTTTACCTTTCCTGATTATAAGAATAGTCCGTGTCTATCATATGCGTGGTGATATGCATGTAATAAGAGTTCCTCACAACTCTTAGATCAGGGGTAGTTTCTGGTGCTCTATTTTCTTCTACCCCTGCCCCCCATGAGGTGATGCAGTCAGCTGGTTAGGGAACCCAACGTCAAGTACACTGTTGCAGAGGACGTGGCTGTCGTGTGAAGCTGTGCTAAGGACAAGGCTCCTCTTTGAACACTGGAATCCAGGGCTGCTGTGTGAAAGCCTGGCCTCCGTTTCCAAGAAGCTTGCTCTGTGTGCACTTTGCAGGAGTGAACTGTGGTACAATATGCTTTTATTTTCTCTAAAATTACATAGCATGAAACATAAAAGTTTATCTGAACAAAAGAAAATGAAGGTGGTAAGAACATGTACAAAGAGACTAGCCCCAAAGCATTCAGTTTGTACATAAGTAGCTGTTTCATAATGGAGTCTTAATAGTAAGAAATTCCTAAGGTGTATAAGCACTGTGTTGGAGGAGAACAGACTGTATCTGTTTTTAATGCTCATGAAAATACATCTATTGTTCAGACCAAACTGGTACACACACACACACACACACACACACACACACCTATCTCTCTTTATTGCCTTTTTTCTGTATATATCTCATACACACACACACACACACACACTATATATATATATATGCACTATTTTAAATACACACACTATTTTTAATGGACAATCATTTCAATCTATCTAAAATTTCCAAGTCTTTAAGAACAACATCAGGTCTTGTCTCCATTGTAAGCATCCCACAAGAGCTTCAGTTTATCATTTGTTACCAGAGTTATAGTAACAGATCCTGTGCATGTCTTTACCAGTATGTTCAAATTGTCCCACTGAAATACCCTTCCTCAGACCTAGCACTGGTCACATAATGCCCTGGCTCAAGACACAGATAGTTCCCATGGCTGCGTGCTAACCTGCACACTACTGCTCTGGTGTTTCTAACCCAGATTCTCTCCCACATTGTCACAGCCCTCATGTTTATACCATGCTCAGTCTTCTGGGTTTCTTCAACTCTTCCCTCGGCCTGGGCTTCCAGTCCCACTCTGTGTTCTTATCTGTCTTCCTGACTATTATTCAGGTTACTGACATGCTTGTCTTTCCTTTGCATCAGGCCACAGGCTTGCTTGCTCTCTGAGGTCTGGACCCAGTGTGATTAAGTCATGGTTAATTTGGGAAATTATTGTAAAGCTGCTCGATTCCAGACACAACAAAGTCTTCAGATTAGAGAAATGGACAAGCCACTATTCCATCCTCAGAGACCACCACCATCAAAGAGGGAGATAAAAATGGCAGCAATCCCGACTCAAGGTATGACATTAAACTTAGGGCTGCTGGGGAAATAACAGTGACACTGGAGAAGGGGGAGGAAGGGACAGGAATGGATGGCTCGTCACAGCAGGCTGGGCTGGGGGTAGGTGATTTTTAAAGGGGCGGACAGCAGACGGCAGAGAGAAGCACAATGCCATCTATTTTGGGGAATGTTAGAAGATGGACGTTTTGTCCTGAAGGATAAGTTCTAACTCTCCTCTAGAGGGTGGAGGGGAAACATCATTCATAGAGTTACAAAGTATGATAGAGGCTTAGAGTGTTCTTTATACTTTTCCACAAATTATCTTTGGTTGTCCCAAATGATTAGATATGTCTTCCATGTATAATTTATCTCTCTAAAGAAGAATATAAACTTGGAAGGCAGAATATAAGTTCATGCTCTCCAAATGCCTCAAGACCCTCAGCACAGTATTTGCTATGTAGTGGGAATTGTAGGAATATTTTAATTTCGTCACCAGCTATTATCCCAGCAGTTGTATGCCCAGTGTTTAGAGAGAACTTTAAGCATCTGTTAGAAGAATTGAACAATGCTGAGTCAAGACAAAATGGAAAAGATCAGCATGTTTTGTAGAGATGTTCTGGCTTAGTAGTTTTGCCTCTAGAACAATTTTATTTGCTATTAAAAGACAATTTAGCACAATTTGTTTCAAAGTGTCATATCTTAGCATTCTTATAGTTGTCAATAATTGTACAGCCAACACAAGCATGGATTGATAATGATGGCTGTTGGATTTGCCTCTCAAAACTGCTTGGGGGGGCATCCTCTGCACACTGCCCATCCCTGTCCTTCTCCAGTCTATTAAGCAGGACAATAATTATGATCTGATGACATCCTTTTTCAGTAGAGTCAGTATGTCCTGGTGATCAATACTGATAGTTAATCCAAAGAAATGGAGGGGAAGAAAGTGAAGACGGGAAAGTCAGCATTACCTTTCATCAACGTTATGGCAACCCAGGGTAGTGACAACTTATGGTTATTTTTGGAGGAGTTAGAAAAGCAGAAAAAGAGTGGAATGTGAAGAACCAACCCAAGAATCCACTCCAATGAACAAAACTCACTGAGTTTCCTGTTCATGCTGAGGGAAGAAAGAAAAGTAAAAAGCGGTCTGATTTGGGGAAATCAAGGCAGACGTACACAGAGACAAAAGTGCGCAAACATAAGATGTGAAGAATTTGACAAGAGCACGTGAAGATGCTGGCGACAGAGAAGAGGACTGAGTTGGGGAGATGGCGCAGAGGGCGAAGTGCGCCAGGCAAGCATGGGGGCAGGTACAGCAGGGCACACTTGTCATCCTGGCGTGGAGGAGGTGGAGCCAGGAGCGCCAGTGAGCACCAGGCCAATGAGGGGACCGGTCTCAAAAAAGAAGGTGGACAGCTCTGAAGAATGACACCCAGTGATGACTTCTGGCCTCATATGGACATGAACATATGGGTAGTATGCACACTGCACACATGTCAACATCAACACACATGTAGGTGCATACATACACATACAAAGAAGAAAGAAAAGGGATCAATGCAAAAGACGCTGAAGAGGATGGAGTGAAAAACAATAACACTTAGAATGTCCTTGAGTGGTTCTTTGCCTCCTGATTATTTCTCTGGGGTGCTGCACCTTTTGCCCTGTGCATTCATTTTTGCTTATTGGTGGCCATGGTGTAGGCAGAGTATACATCTCCTATTCATAATGTCACTGACCATGATCTTATTCTCTTGCTTATAGGTGGAGAGACATGTGCCAGTGGTCTTGCTGTCCATATTGTTTGTCTTAGAGAGGAAAACAAAAAGGAAAGAGCCACCTGAAGAACAGCAAATCCAATAGCAATGGGCAGGGAGGGCACACACAGGCCTAGAAGCGCTATGTGCTCTAGGTGACTCAATCTATGGAGAGAGCTATAGAACTATGTTCCAGTAAGAACACAATTTCCCAAAGCCACTTCACTTTGTCAGGCCCTATGTGTGATTGGTATTTAGCTAATATTTCTCACGCTTTGGTTTGGAGACTCACTCCCTTCCTGGTCTTCCTTTGAGAAACAGTATAGATCCAGCCATGGTGCTGTGTATCTGTAGGTCTCAGCTACTCCTGAGGCTGAGGCAGGAGGATAGCTCAAGCACAGACATTCAGGGCGAGCTCAGGCACAACCTGTACACTCCATCTCACAACAATAACAACAACAACAGCATCTTACATTAGTCTGGGGATGTCACTGACAGCCACCGTCCCATCGTGCGTCTCGCTCTCCCCGTCTTCTTCCTCCTCCTCACTGCTCTCCGACTCCTCACTGGAGGAGGAGTAATCAGTCACTTTCTTCAGTGGACGGTTTGTTTCTTCAATCCGGAGTTCTCTTAATTCTTTGGCTAATGCCGTCAGATCCTACGAAAGAAAAGTTTGTAAGCACATGAAGCGTAGTTACAACCAAAGCTGTATCTCCCAGCCAGTCATTGTTCCAGCTTAAGCCACAAGAAAAAGGAAAGAAAGAAGCTCTGTAGAGAACTGTGACAAACACAGTTACCGTATGGAACTAAGGAAATGATGCTTGTGGTGTGGAGAAGCTAAGAGACGGGAGATAAAATAAATTCAAACTTGGTTCAAAAACAATAGCTAGACTGGGACTGACTGTGCACATGTGTGTGTTAGACCAGGACTGACTGTGCATATATGTGCGTGCCGTGCTGTGTGCATGCGCATACATACAAACACTGTGTTTTATTTTGAGAGGGTGAGGTTGGTTGCCCCCAGAGTTGAATGGGAAAATAAATGGGATTAAAATTTGTTCCCCAAGTATTGTGGATTTCCTGGCCAAAGCCCCGATGGTGGCCTTTCCTCTCTTGTGAGGGCTACTGGACCAAAATCTAGCATCAATCATAGAACAGAGCAGTTGCCAAAGTTCATTTGGTGTGAAGTCATTCCCCAAAGAACAAAGGTACCACATCAAGTGATAGCCCACCCCAAATCCTAGTGCTACTGAAATTTAGAGTCACAGGAATAAGTTAATCAAGAGGAACAACAGACAGACAGACAAACAAACAACAATCAGTTCTCTTCCAGAACGACAGGTGTTTCATTTTTAAGTTTTAAATTCCAGTCACCTGGCAGAAACCCTTACAAGAAATGCTGAAATGAATGTTTAAACACCCAAAGGAAGAGATAGTTTTCCAGTTTTCCATGAGTGTGATGAAACCTTAGCCTTATGGATGTGATGAGGCAGGACTGAGTCACCAGGCATAGTGCAAGACAGTGTGCCGAACGTCTGACTACCTTTAATGGACATGCTTTCAGAGCAAGGCGGAGGGAGGCAGTTCTGCAGAAGCATGGCCGCTCTACTTTGCATGGGTTAAAATGCCCATGGCACGAAGCATGCAAATGAGGAAAAAGCAATTTGACATTGGTCTTACCATTTCTCCCTATTTAGGGACCCATGTGGGAATCAGAGCATTCAGCGAGAGACAGGGAGTTAGGGAGAAAGAAACTCATTGAAAAATACTAAATCCCACATTTTTCCCCCAAAAATAACTGGCCATATTCTCTCTTTATTTCAGTCCAGAAATGTATTTGTCTAATTCACCTGATGTATGATTAATCTCAGTGACATAAATGATGTTATGTCATTGATCCCGATTAGAAGAAACCCTCTGGTACACATGCATAGTTAATGGTAATTCACTTCCAGGCCCCGTACGCCATGTGCTGTGCACTGCGGCCGCACGGCAGGTCAACACTCACAGAGCAATCACTTCAGTGCTTCACTGAAATTTAGAGCATTCAAGCTGTCAAGTGAACGAGTCAGAGTTGTTTCCTTTTAATGTCTCAAATGGAAAGCAATATTTCCTGAACTAAGGCCCCATGAAGGGGAGGTCGCAGGGAATCCCACCTGCCCATTCTCCTCGGGAACACACTTGCTGGGGCTTTCCCAGCCATGCGTACTCCCTCACACATAGACCCCAGTCTCCGCCGTCTGTGAAAGTGAGTCTAGAGTCGGGTCCACAAGGCTTCGCAATGTTTAGAGAAAGCATACTAGGAAAGGGAGATCCTCCACACACACAGAATTTTATGCACATTTATTTCTCATTTCCTAGGCAATGCAGCCGACCAGGAAAGGCTAACATCCAGCTTCCACCCTTCTGCATATTTCCTCTTGATTGCTGCTGACACATTCGTCTTTATCAAACAAAAAGAGTATGAAGAACATGCTAGATGGGCACAATGGGGACAAACTGTTGACAGATTTGTCAAGACTCTGAAAGCAAGAGGACATGGTGAGCTTCCCAACTAGCAAAAATGACAAATCAGACACATTGATTGCATAGGTAGATTTTTATAAGGTAAGACTATCAAAGAATATAACTGATATTTAAAATGTTACTTATCATTAAAAACTATGCTTTATTATAATTTAAAGAGAGAATATGGTTTAAAGGAGCTTGTTTCTACTATCAAAAAGTCTGAGTAAAATATAATACTACTACTATGACTTATTTAAATTAATGATACATTTTCCCCCAGGCATGGCTTCCTTATCTCTGACAGTTCAGGACAAGATAAGAGAGAGAGATGAAAAAATATCCAATCTATTTAGAATTATTTAGTAAGTCCATAACCCAATAACAACTTCAAGAAAGTTTCACTTGTTAAAATGACCTACATTTCCCTAAATATTGTATTTATCAACACTTTAAAATTATGACCTGCTTTATAATTTTGGTTTTAATCAGAATTTTTTATTTCTGTGTTATTAAAAAGCTCTTTCCTGAAACATTAAAAATAAATTGCAAATCTATTTCAGTTTAATTGGTAACAGCTTGGAGAGTGGGACAGAAATGAAAATTTCAAGGTAGCAATAATGAGTAATCAAAAGCGATGCCCCTGAAGAAAATCAATCTCCCACTGCCGGGCGCCTCTGAGGCTGGCTGAACTTTTGTTCCTGTACGCTCATGATGAAGCCACTGGATGATACTGGAGTTGCAGGGATAGACATGATGCGGTGTTGTCACTGCTGGGTTTGGATGCATTTTCATGCACTTTATTCTCTGACAATTCCAATTTCCTCTATCTAATGAGCCTTTCATGGTAATTTATTGCTTGGCTGTCTCAAGCCTGAAGCTAAAAAGCATTAAAAAGGGGAATAAAAGTGCTATTTAGCATGAAAATATTTGAGAACATATTAACTAAAGGAGAGATATGGCAAAATACTTCATTCTTCTTCCCTAAAGTGCTAACGTGAAGGCAGTGGGCGGCTCGAGTCCAAAGGGTCTGGGGGCGGCGTTTCTTAGCCTTCCCCAGGACCTCACTTTTCATCCTGGTGAGCTTGTTTCTTCGGACAATTATATAATATCCTGCTTTAAAATATGCTCATTTAGGTTTCTTCTTTTGAAATAATATAGTTGAGTCAAATTTTACTTCAACTGGTTGAGCCATTGTACTGTTAGAGAATTTTAATGTGGCCTTCCTTTTATGTGTTATATTTTCCCCCTTTTAGGAAAGCTAAGGAGTGATACCAGCTCGTCCTTAACCTCAGCAGGCTCATCTGAAGGAAAAAGAGTCCAGCTCACCAATTATTACTTATTTTTCAATAAAAATAAGTGACTTTATAATTTTCAGTTTTTTAAATCCCAATAAAAACCTAACCCACACCTCAGTGATTGCACATAGACTACATGTTACACATTCAGTTATGGGAATGTAAAGGGTGTGTGTTTACAAAAGTTGTATTAAATAATAGTGTTGCAAAATTTCACAGTGCAGTAGAAAGTAATGTTAAATTTATGGCTACTTTTTGGGATTTATTGCTATGAAAAATTAAACTAATGAATTACCAATAACAAGAAATACATTTTAAAAAGGCATTTAAAGACTCATTTGAATTTCATTCCGGGTCATCCAAGTAGGAAAACAGTTGCAGAAGACAAGTCATATCAACACCTAGGAATGGAGATGGGTGGCAAAGCTGAGGGCAAGATTTCCCACCAGTGGCTCCTGTAACGTGGGCCCAGGTGGGGAACTGCCCGTGTGTTGTAGGATCCTTAGGTCCACCCTTTCCATGTACCCACGCTGCCGGTAGCTTCGTCTCCTACTTTTAAGTGTAACAACTACAGTTGACTTCAGATTTTTGGGAGCAGCTCCTACGTAAAAGAAGGGCAGCAATCATGGCTAAGAGCTGCAGGGTTAGGCAGGACCATCTTCCTATGTTTTGAGTGGTCCAGGCCAGGGATACTCAAGAGTCAGAGCTGTCAGTTGACCAGGGGCATTGGCTCTGATACACAGCTCCGGAGATTTTGGTATGAAGTTGTCTACTCTCTCATCTCTACCTGGTGTGGTAGAGCAGACCAAAATAAATGAAGCGATTTTCAAAAAGCCTGCAACATCCAGAGGAGACCTAAGAGAGTTCTTTTCCTCATAGAAGCCACCTCCATACGGATGTCTGGACCCGTAAGTTGTTCATATAAATACTACTTTATTGGCAGCTCTAGTACCCAGGACCAGAAAATAATTTTCTTTTCTTTACCTGCTCTGGGTGACGAATAAAAAGTTGGGATAGTCCCTCCATCTTGTCACCACTATGAGGGAAAAGCAAGGCCATGGTGCAGAGTGACTATAAACAGTCCCATGCTGTAGACATGTGGGGGAGCATTATTTTATAAACAGCAACCCCTTAACCAGCAAAGTGACTTTCTGAATCACTATGAATGGTGTGGTGGCCACAGCTTTGGTGAAAAACAGCTTCACAGAATCAAATTTTCCTACTTGCAAAGTTAGTTCTCTGCCTATGGCTCAAATCTGAACAGTTACATTGGCTTTCCATAGCACTTTCCACTTTAAAAAATGCCTTTGTACACAGAGCCTAGGACCCCAAAGAATCAGTGGGTAAAGGCAGGTTGATGTTTTTATTCCCATTTTACAGACCAGAAAACTGACTGAGATTATGAGACTTATCCTAGCCAGCATTCACTGAGGGGAACCAAACTTCAAATGTAGCTTGCTGATCCCTGAAGCCAGTGCTTTTTCCATATAATTCCACAAAATGTACTTTGCAGAGCTACAGCCTCAAAGCCATAACGGTGAGCCTCACATTCCATGCACCCGGGACTCTGGAGGCCTGCCTGATTGGAACCATTCCACTGCGCTGTGTTCATGCAGGCCTGACAACCAGCGGGGCGGCCGTCCTCAGCAAGCTGTCTAGGAGGGACAAAGCCATGTGCTTTTCTCGTAGGAAATGTCTCCACAGATAACCTAGATCTCTCAACTCGCCCAGGTTCAGCAGCTAAGGCTGATATTGTTTGTGGTGTTGTGAGTGCCCCACAAAATTAATCTAACAGTACGCTTCAACTCCTGTTCACAAATCACACACTAGATATTTGGGGTGTGCTAGAATTCTGTCTCTTTGTTTTGTTAGCAAGGATGCTGAACACAGGTTTGTTATCAGAAGGTACCGGAAGGAGACACCACACCATTAACAAAACACTAATGCCTGTTGTTTGCCCAGATGGGACATTGGGAAAGCAGTGTTTTTGTTTAGTGAAGGACTCTAAAGCTTTCTATGGGTACATCTGAGGGTCTCAGGTTGGCTCTGTTGAAGGGGTTCTCCCCCCCAAACAAAGCTATATATAAGAGGGCTTTCCACAATCCCACTGGCCTCTTTTCTGAATGTCCGCATCAGGAAATGGGTTTAATATTCATATCTCGTGAAAGCAGGACCAAGGAAAGGTGGTACTGACCTCATCGATGGCTTTCTTATAGCTCTGTGACAACCAGAGGAGACCAGTCCAGAGAGTCCACAGGCAGGGAGAGCCGGAAGGAAAGGAGCAGGTGAGACACAACATGGGCACAGTTAGTAGAAAACTCACACAAACAGGCAAAGAGAGGTCAAGGCAGACGATGCACATTCCTTCATTGCTTAGCATCCTCCTTACTTTCAGATGAAGGAGGCAGTAGATGAAGGTGACATCCATTCCCAGAACAGCGTCTCAGAATGTCCAGGTTCATTTTCTACTTTCAGCCAGCATGCTCTTTTTTCATCCTTTAGTTTTAGGGTTTACTTCTTTGAGACAATATTTCATGTATCCTAGACTGGCCTTGAACTCATTATTCAGGCAAAGATGACTTTGAACCTCTGACTGCCTTACACACTGGTATTAAAGGTGTCCTATCATGCCTGTTTTCTGCAGTGCTGGGGATCGAATCCAGGGCTTCATGTGAGCAGAATGAGCACTTAACTACACCCCTATCCCATAGTCTGTCTTTCTCTCAAGCTGCTTGGTGTCAGGTCCGAAGGAAACTCTACCAAAGCAGCCAGAGGGGACAAATGGTGTCTGCGGTGCCTATCCGCATGCTGGCCTCCAGGCTCTCTTGTCACCACAACTCCCTGGGGCCCTTCTCAGCTCTTCTCAGCCTGTCCTATCCCAAACTTCTCCAGCTCCCAGGATTCCTTCCTCTGGCTTCTCACTCCCATAGAACCCCGCCGTTCCCGCTGGGTGCTCTTGTCTTTCCCGCTCGGCCGCCCTCCTGCTCCTCTCTTAGGGTCCTCTGCCTGCACTCCTTGTCCTCCTCCATCACTCTCCCCCGCCCTCCTCTCAGGGCCCGGTCCACTCTGCTGGCCATGTTCAGTGTACCACTTCTCTCCCTGCTCTGGACTCTTCCAGATGCCCCTGGCTGTTCTCTCCTCATATCTACAATAGAAAACACACCTCGGAGCAGTCAGCCCTCAATTTATACACTTGGGTCCTTCATGTTCCAGCAATGACTCTGGATTTCAAGTCTGTGTCACATCATACTTATTAAGTTTTGGTCCAGAAAAGACTAGTCCATAAGGCAGGACAAGTAGTGAAGAACCAGTCTGCCTCCATCTTAGGCTTGAAAGCCATCTTATAGTAAAGGCAACTAGGCTCATTCCTGTTTGTGGTTAAATCAGTTTCTCAAGGTTTGGGCAATGCCCCACCTGTCACCTTAACTACAAATGGTTCTGTACTGCATGTTCCAGGAATGGCCATCATGTCTGTGTTTCAAAAAGTGTTAATAACTATCTTTCAACCCTACCTTTGTTCCAAAAGGTTATATGACCACCTATGACTACCTGTTGTTATGACCACCATGTTATGCCCACCCTGCAACCATGTCTTTGTTTCAGGAGGTCCAAAGTCAGTGGAAGCAGCCCAAGATCCGTTCAGTCCCCCACCCCATCAGGTATGACTTCCTTTTAGATGCTTCTAGCATACAGTGTTCCTAGTTATCCTCAGTTTTTTGCTCTGAGTCATGAATGTAACCCCAACTACCTTATCTTAGGATTCTCAGGTAAGGAAAGACATAGAAATTCTTAGGAAGGAAATCACTCACAGCTGGCCGACTGGGCCGGGTGATGTCTCTGGATTCTTCAGGTTTCACCTTGGTGGGCTCGTGGGGGAGCACAGGAGATCCTTCTGACTTACTGTTGGCTAGAGAAAAGAACAGGGACAGGAAAGACAGGACATGCATTAGAAGAGGCTGCCCCACATTCTAAGTGACTCTGGAAGGACTACACACTAGGCAAATCCGTGGACACCAATGGAAAAACTACAAATGCTCAAAAATCAGTCAGACAACCGAGGCCTGAAACCTAGAAGTCAACAGTGAAAACGAAAACCTGCAGTCACTACCGAGTGCTGACCGTGCATGAGGCACAGCCCGAACGCTTTCTGTCGATTGTTCCAATTAATCCCTGTTCCAAGCCAATGGTGCAGCACCATTTCCTCATTCTCCAGATGAGCAGAGACACAGCGAGCTCAAGGCGACAATGAAGTCATGGATTTAGTTGGGATTCTTTCTGAATTTTAAAAGTCTTCTTAATCGTTATTTCAAATGAGCTTATAAATTTTAGGCTTGTTTTCTTCTTTTATCATCTATTCATAAGAACAGGCTATTCTGATTGAAGTTTATGAAGAATAAAAAGAGTTTTATTTGATAGAACAAGTTTAAAGGGGGGGGGGCTGAGAAGTGTCTGAGACCTTTAAGGAAGAAAGAATTGTTGTGGAATATTATTTTAAGGTGTGTTACTTTTGTTTATGTTGCGTTTGTTTAACTCTGTGAAGCTGTGTTACTGTGTCTGTCTAAAACACCTGATGGTCTAATAAAGAGCTGAACGGCCAATAGTGAGGCAGGGGAAAGGATAGGTGGGGCTGGCAGGCAGAGAGAAGAAACAGAAGGAGAAATCTGGAAGAAAGGGAGAAGGAGCAAGAGAACAAGGAGAGGAGGACTCCAGAGGCCAGCCACCCAGCCACACAGCCAGCCATGGAGTAAGAAACAAAGAAAGGTATACAGGAATAGAAAAGGCCACAGGCAAAAGATAGTTCGGATAATTTAAAGTTAAGAAAAGCTGGCAAGAAACAAGCCAACCTCAGGCCGGGCCTTTATAATTAAGAATAAGCCTCTGTGTGTGAGTTATTTGGGAGCTGGGTGGCAGACCCCACCAACGAGCAGAAACAAACGACAACAGAGAATAATGCAGGATGAGGAAGGTGTGGAAGATAAGGTGAAGGGCAAGAATAGAGTTGTGGCCAAGGATGGGGGCTCCCTGCAGTCACAGAGTGAGGGCTGCCATGTCATTTATGTCATAGGTGGGGCAGCAGGAAAGCTCAGGATCTCTTTGTTTCGAATGTGGCCTTTCTCTGGCAGAGGTTGCTTGTAACCAGAAAAGTAGAGGGTGGAAGAAAGAATGTAAGAGTTAAGCCTGAACTAGAATTAACATGGTATGTGTAATCCTGATTTTCTTTATGATTTTCTCTAAGGATGCAAAGACTCCAGTGAACAGAAAAAAGGTTGATGGATTGGCAGTTTTCTAGGGTAAGAACATGTGTGTCTGGATCAGTGCTGCAAAGACACACGGCGCTCTGGTTTAGGCCACTGATGTCAGAGGAGTACTGAGTGGTCAGTGGTGGGTCAACCCACATCTTAGCTCACAGTCATGTGTGTCACATGTTAAATCTGAAGCTTAAACAAATTGGATATACAGAGATTTTACTTAGTTGACACCTAGAAGATTAATAGAGGAGGCAAATTATTGCTGTGTCTACTAAAGGGGCCACTTAGAACTGGTGGTTTTCTTAAGGGAGAGTGATTTATCAGCATATTAGTATTTATCAAATTGTACTTCAGACAGTCTGGCATTACTGTGAGCAAATTTACCCTCTGCAGAAGTGACTCAAAAAAGAGCAAATTTGGACTAGTTAGAGGAGGGCTTTGCTAGGTATTTAATTGTACTATAGTCTTTCCATAGGTTTCTTCATTAGTGAAAACTAAGCAATGACAAATGCTTTGAACTAAATATTAGGCTCTAGTTTTTATTTATCTGATGGGAACAACTAGAAGAATCAACCACATGTCTTTAAGGCAAAGGTATTTTCTTCTCTCTCATGTATTTATTTTATATTGGCTTTTAGGAAATTTCATTTTGAGAAATACCTAAGATTATGAAGCTTGAATCCTGGAAGGGATGTCTGGCGCCTTGGGAACAAGAGAGTGGGGTGCACGAGACTGAAAAGGAAATGGAAACGGACATTTGGGGAACTGTTCAGTTACCACATTTTGCAATAAGACGGCTCCTGGATATCTGCCTGGAGAACACTAGAAGCTGAAAGTAGACAGGACTGTGGTTCATACTCGGACGACTATGCACAGTGAGGGACAGTAGCCCAGTTCCTTCAGGAGCTACAAGCATGGGACCCCCTGCTGCCAGAGTTAGGAAGTAGCCACTCCTTTCTGTCTGCAGCTTTCCTCCTAGGCATAAGAGTATGGGGACAGTTAGGAGAACACTTACCCCGAACTCTAGTTCGTTCACTAGATCCTGCTTGTGACCCAGGCTGAGAGCCTCCTTGGGAGCTGGGCTGGGAGCTGGGAGTGCTGGAGCTGGAGGAACTGCCACTGCTGGTTCTCTGCAGGGGGCTCTCCAGGATGGGCTCTGTTCTGCGGAGATCAGGATTACTGCATGGACAGAAGAACACATGGCTAGAGGTCAACATCCACAATACACAGGGCACTCACTTAACAACTCAGTAGCAAGAAAATAAATAACCAGATGAGCCAAGGACTCGAAGAGACATTAAAAAAAAAAAAAACAAAAAAACAAAACAAACAAAAAAAAAACTCATACATAAAAATGCTCAGCATCACCTTACACTTATTGAAATGTTTTTCTCAAAAAGAGGAATGATACCATTGCTGCTGAGGATGCTGAGAAGGATAACCTCGTTGTCGTCCTCTGTTGGTAGGATGCAAATTAGTGTAGCCATTATGGAAAATGTTATGGTGATTCCTCCAAGAATTACAAACAGAGCTACAACATGACCCAATAATTCTGCTTCTGTATATATCTAGAGGAAATGAGGTCATTGTGTTGAAAAGATGGATGTATTCATTGTTGCATTATTTATAGCAGCAAAAGATAGAATCAGTATATATCCACTGATGTGCAAATGGATAAAGAAAATGAGATATAATATATATCACATATATATGGCATATATATTCTACACATATGTCACGCCCACAAGAAGACATGCGCTGTATGATCTCACTTACATGTGGATAGGTACAACTCAGAGCAGCAGAGAGTACAGTGTGGACCATTAGCAGCTGTAAGGTTTGGTGTGGGGACAGTGAGATGTTAAGCAAAGAAAGGTTTCAGTTAGACAGGATAAACAAGCTTTTGAGATCTACTGTAAACTGTGGTGCCTTTATTGAATATGTATGATGAAAGTAGAATTTCTTTTGAGAAGAGATCTCATTATATAGATCACTGCAGCACCACAAATAGCTTTGAAATAGATCCTAAATGTTCTCATCACAAAAACTGGTAACTATTTGAGCTCACATCACAATTTATACATCCATCAAAATATCACATGGTAAATATAAATATATGTAATTTTAATTCTGTATACATTAATAAGGCTGTGGGTGACTTGTTATTGGTAGAGACTTCTGAAATCCTGAAGCAAAGGAGTCAAGGGAAGATGGAAACTATGCCTTCCTGGTGGAGCTGTGACCAGATGCTGGAAAGGGTAGACGCCGGGAAGGTAGACGCTGGAAGGGTGGAGGATGAACTCCAAATGCAATTCTTGGGTCAACACACTAAAAGTACCAGCTCTCAGATAAGGAGCCCTAAGAGGAGACCTTCCTTTAAACAGCTCTCCCAGGATTCATTGTAGACAACTTGAAATATATAAAAAGGAAAAATGAGTAACAACACATACAATTCCCAAGCTAGGAAACAGTCAACCGTATTTTAACTATTTGGCAAATTATCGAATGTTCAGTTTTCTCTCTTACTTTTTGCTTCCTAACACTGTATGGTGAGCACTTTATTATGCTCTGAAAAGTGCTGGCTGCAAAATAACCCACCATATAGACAAATTTGTTTGGTCATTCCTCCAGTGTTAGTCATTTATGGGGCTTCCAACACATTTCTGTGACAAGTAACACAGAACTAACCATCTGTCTGCACACTGAAGCTCAACTCTCTTTCCTAGTTTTAGAATTCTTGGTTGAAATGTCATGAATTCTGTGAACACATATGTATGCAGATATATAATGGTCTTAGCAATTTTCACTATGTGATCATTCTTTTCTCTGAATTTTTGTGTATATGTGTGTATGTGTGTGTGTGTGTGTGTGTGAGTGTGAGTGTGTGTGTGTGTGTGTGTGTGTGTGTGTGTGTGCGTGTGTGAGTGTGTGACTGGTGACCAGAAGTAGGTGTCAAACACCCTGCAGCTGAAGTTACAGGTGGTTGTAAAATACCTGAAGTGGACTCTGGGAATTAAACTCTGGTGCTCTGTAAGAATGGCCAGTGTTCTTAACGGCCGAGCCATCTCTTCAGGCCCTCATGTCCCTCTTTACTGACCACAAAGAGCAGCATTTGTTCACTCCCGCAGTGTTATCATGGCAGGAACAGTCAGGCCGCTGAGAAAGAACAGTGGCGGCACACTGTGCACGTCCTCTGTGAATCTAGCTAGGCACACAGATCTTTCCATTGCTGCTTATCCTGCAGTGAAAGACAGGGTGACGGGTAAACATGGAGGATGCCTACCCCGTCACCCCGAGTGACGGCACATGAGCAGGGAAGAGAGAACCTTCTAGCAATGGTGGTGGGAGGCAGCTGTGGAAGTTTTTATGATTTTGTTAATAAGAAACAGCATTCTGAGCTTCTGTAATGTTTTTCCCTTTTGGTTTATAACTAAGACCTCTCTTCACTTGCCCATTAGATTTGTACAGTTCTGGACAGGGATAATGAGTGATACGTGAGAGTCAAAGCTCCAGACTGTTGCCAGCCATTTTCTGAGAGGGAAACCGTGGGAGCCCCGTCTCCCTCATTTCCAGCAGCTCTAGTTCTCTAAAGGCCCTGAACACTTTTGTGAAGGAGACGCCGCGACGCAGCGTGCCGATGCGGGACGTACTGCTTCAGGTGAACTATGATGCTTTCATCCGCTCTGACTGGTCCCAGATGTGTCCCATACAGAGTGGAAAATAACACGGTCCTCATGCTGAGGCACTGGGAGCTTACCCTACTGATGGCCTTGCCACAAAACGTCTAGTTGTGTAAGCAAAAGTAACACATACAATTTTTTTGTTAGTGCATTTTTAAAGAGATAGCACACAAAAGTAATGGGCTTCATTTTGGCATTTTCATAATGCTTGTACGTCTGCCCAATTCATGGCTGAGTCGAAGTGGCTAGCAACCATGTGTAACTTCAGTGGCAAATATATGTAAAAATAATCATGTCTCAGAATTGATCAATTTTGATGATATGAAATTAGAATTTATGACAACATTTACTCTTAAGGCATTTGTGGGTGAAGTGGGTGCTAAATCAACTCACCAGTAAAGCCGACTGCAGAGTGACTGTTGGTGAAGCTCATGAAAATCAAGAATTCTTGCTATACTAACAGCACTCTTTAATGGAACATAACTATTTTTGTGAGAACTGTTTGTATCTAAGGGGTCGAAATACATTTGGGTCTCATGTGCAAATACCCCTAAATTAGAAAATACTCAAAATGATCACTACTTCCTTCCTAAGTATCTTACATGATAAATTTGTTATTTTTTCATAGAAGACAACTGTCTCTAATCCTCAAGTAACAGCTTCTTTCCCACTGCTCTCTTTTATGAAACAGTGGTGGTCAGGAAATTATTAATAAATTACTAAATTGTTTGTTGTTAAATTTATTACTAACCAAATATATTATAGACCGAGAGTGGTGGGTTGCACTAAAGTTTCTTATACTGCTAGGTTTTGTGGAGTAATGATGTCATCTTCTTTGTACTCGGGAAGTATTGTGAGAATGGCAGGGTACATGCCCCGAGATGTCCTTGAAGGTGCTGTGGTGTCGTGACAGTATTCGGTTACGTGCTCTATTTACCTTTCCTTTGATGCCTCCGTCAAATTCTTGTTGAATCACATCTAAATTGAGTCTTATTAGATCAGGATCAGGCCAGGAGGTGTCCTGTCAAGTGACACTATCCACTATCGCCATGGCAATAAGATGTATGTGACAGAGACAAGAGTTAACAGTTAATAGCAACTCCGGAAGTAGTGTGAAAAGAGAGTATATATCCCATTGGTGTTTGGGGAAATTCACACACATTAAGGTGTGGGTTGTGTTGTAAAGGAGTGAGCCTACTGGGATTTGGTATGGTATCAGAAAGTCTGGATATAGCCTGTGTGGTGACTAAAGCTGGTGTCCTTCTTGTACATGTCATGTGGATGGATGTTAAGCAGAGGTCAGCAGGGCAGTTCACCAAGTCTGTGGTAGGAAACAGAAAGTCAGCTGGACCGAAGAGAAGGGTGGTCGGACAGCATTAGCTGTTAAGGTCTGCTACCCGCCTCCCATGGTGGCCCGGTGTGCATGCCTGGTTAGGAGAAAAGCATGAACAGACAGAAGGCTGTGGGCATGTTAGGGGTCTTGGCTATTTGCAGAACTATCTGGGATGCACATGCATCTTTGATGAAACTCAGAGCTTCTTCCTGTGTGAGACTAATTAGATCCCATGAGCATTAAATTCCTGACTTAGGGCTCGTTAGCATAAGTCCTCTCTACCCCAGCTCCCTGTCACAGGTGCCGGTCTTCATTCTTGTTGCTGAACACTAAAAGAAATATTTAGTGTCTCTATCACCACACAGAGAAATAAGGGGACTTAATGTCTTTTCTACCTTACTTCCCCTTTCTTAAAAACATGAGTAATGTGAGAAAATGCCATATGATATTTTTTCTTCCTTATTATATATGTATAATGTCCCTTATGGGCTGAGGGATCTGAAATAAATGCTCATAGAGAGAGGTTCAATTTCAGAATTCTACTAAGTAACAGGTTTCCATTGTTCACATATTAACTAAGACTGCTTGCATCCAAGCATGCAGAAACTTTAAAAATTCCTAATACATTTCTTTAAATGCTAACTTTTAGTTCACACTTTTTCTATCCAGCAAATAAAGATGTTTGCTCTATAAGATAACATTGAGAGAATATGTGGCAATTACTCTATCTACTTGAACTGTATAAAAAGTCAAAACATAAAATGAGGATTACAAAGTGATTTTGTTTCCAAAGCCTTGGGCCAAGTCTTTAATTAACTGGCTGACTGCCAAAATTCTCTTTACTTTGTTCTTTGATAACATGGCCAATAAGAAAAAACTAGTCCTAAGAAGATATGTTTGGGATGGGGCAGGGAATTATTTTCTGGGACTAAACATTTAGTCACTGGTTTTTTTTAGACTGGGTGTTTCTGACAATTTAAATCTTTTCATATTTCAAAAGTACTTGTTTGAGCAAACTTTTAATTTGGCTTAAAAAGAACACATGGATCAAAGCGAAATATTAAAGTTTGAAAATAGCAATATTTTTACAAAATCAACTACAACCTTCCTTTAAACTCTCCTGACCACCCTCATAGGTGAGGCCATTGGTATCCAGGAGCAGGTGGGACCTGCCTGTGGAGCTTGAGCTTAAGCAATCCCCAATTTCCTGAGTAGGAAACTGTGCCACCGCCCACCTCCACCCCTAGAGGGAGCTGTTGGCAGGGTTCCTAGAGGAGCGGGGAAGCACTGGGGGATAAATGAGTTCCATGGTCTCCCACCTTTTAAAGGATAGTGCAACAGGGTGGAGAGCAGTGCCTTCAAGGTTAGGAGCGACTGCTAACAGACCTATAAACTACACGGTGAGAAGGGCAGAGGCAAAACAGTGTCCTGTCAATCACAGAGGCAAGAGTTCCCGAGGCAGACTACCAGTGTTCAAACCCCAGTCCAAGCACTTCTTCCTCTGACACACTGGGCAATTTGTTTTGTTTACTTCAGCTTCCCATCTATAAAGTGAGGGTGATGAAAAGCCTTGCCTTGGAATCGCTATATGATTTAAATAGTTAATATTTGGAATGCTAGCTGGCAAGATGGCTCAGTGGGTAGAGACACTTGCTGCCCAATCATGGCAGCCTGAGTTTAATCCCTGGGACCCATAAATTACCAAATCCACTGAGGTGTCTTCTGACCACCCTCACCCCCTGCCAACACAAATAAATTAAGAGTATTTTTAATACAATGAAAATATTATATCATACACAGTGCTTCAAGAGGTATTTATTAAACACTGAAATGAATATAAACTGCCTGAGGAACAGAAGACAAGGTTCTGAAAGGCCTGCCTACAAATACTTGCTGACCTCAGACAGCAAAGGAGTAAGAGAATGGAGGGTATTCCTATGAGAAGGAAGTGTAGCTAGAATAGTAAGGTTCTGACTTGCTTGTATTAGTTACACACTCAAGTGCACACTCTGACTCCAGATTCTTCCATTCAGGGCATTACATAGTTGCCATTGATTCAAACCTGTTGTTTTCAAATTGTTATGGAATATCTCACATTTGACAGTTCCTATGGAACGTCTTGCCCTTAGGATCTGGGATCCACTGTTGTAAGTGAAGGAAACAAAGTACAAGCTTCTTAACTTCCAGGCTGCCTGCTCTCCCTCTTTTGCTCACCCAGCACACAGTTCATTTCTTATTCACGTCGGAATATGGACAAGGAGAACCACTTCCTTGGCGGTGCTTTCCTATGTGGTGACATAGAGGCCAGGGTCCTACTTCGTTCAAGCTTTACCATCTTGAACTCTGGGTTTCTATGTTGTTCATAAAGAATAGAGAAACCTTCCTTTTAAGAACAATGCATGTATGTATGTATGTAGAGTTTGTGTGCATGTGGATGAACATATATGTGTGTGTTTATGGAGGCCAGAGTACAACCACCAATGTTGTTCCTTAGGAGTGTCCACCTCTTTTGAGACAGGGTCTTCATTGGCCTGGAGCTCACCATAATTGGCTAAAATGGATGGGCATTGAGCCCCCAGGGACCCTCCAGTCTGTATTTGTCCACTGTTGGGATTGTAAGCACATTACCACACCTGATATTTTGATATGGGTTCTAGGTATTAAATTTATGCTTTCTTTAAGCAAGTTCATTTACATACTGACTCCAAAGCAAGGTAAGAAAGAGATGTAAGATTTAATTTATCCCCCAAAATATGTGTAGCCCAAAGAACATGAAGTATACTTAGACCTTTGAGCCCTGGTGTCTGTCGCTGGTCATGGGAAACACTTGGTTCCAAGACCACATTATAGTCTTGCACATAGCATGGCATTGCTGTATATTAGTTAACTCTAGCAAACAAAATAACAAAGAACATAAAATGTCTTGAATCTGTTCACTATTATGCTCTGTAATTTTCACTGGAATCTACTCTAACTCTGCTAGTTTTTTAGTTTCCCTTGAGAATCACTTTAAAAAAATGGTAAAGAAATAAAAGGAATGTTGACCGAGTATAGAAAATACAGCTTTGAGCATTATAAAATACTCAAATCACTTAAGAGCACCTCCCCCTTTTAGAGGCTCCATTGATGAGTGATAAGGCAGATAAGACAAGGCAGGAGGCATGCGTCCCAGTTTTGATGCCCCTGTGAAGCTCTTTTCCATGCCCAGGGCTTGGCCATGCAAGCCACTCGAAGGCAGGGGAGATGACCTAAGCGAAGGCTTCAAAAACCCTGTGCATTTGTGGTTTTCTCTTTGACATTCTGATCCGAGATGGACAAAACTGAGCACACCCAGAGGAAAGAGCTTGGGGACTAAGAGATACAGCTGAGCAGGCAGCTCAGGGAAGTTGCATGAATGAGCTCAGATCACAGGAGAACTTTTTAGTTCACTTGCAGAACTGTGAGAAGTCATGATCAGTCCCCTTCAGGTCAACCAAGTGTTAGAGCCTTTTACTTCACAGACGGCGCCGTCAGTGAAGCGCTTACTATGCAAAGGTGAGGACCTGAATCTGGAGCCTCAGCAGCCACCTGAAAAGGGCAGTAGTGCCATCTGCAATCCCAGTGCTGGGGGAGGCAGGGGTGGGAGTAGACTAGACTTGCTGGCTAGTCACCCAAGCTGCATCGGTGAACTCAAGGTTCCGTGAGAGACCCTGCCTCAAAAATAAGATGGGAGCCACCAAGAAACACACTGAACATTGATGTCTCCACATATCATGGAAAGCTTGAGGGGGTCAGAGGATAACTTTGAGGGGTTGTCTCCTAATTTCATATGGTTTCTGGAGAAAAAACTCAGGCTGCCAGGAATATGCAGCAATTGCCTTTAACCACTTCGAAGAGCCATCCCACCAGCCAGTGATTCACATTTTAAGTGCTGGTCACGAGGAGATGAATGTTGGCAGAAGCAAGAGTGTTCTGCAGATTGTCTTACATGAGGGCATGGGGAGTCTCCACCATCTCACTCCAAATCTTGGGATGGGCATTGTAAGTGGGTAACTGCAAACTCTTAGCTCACTTCCTCTTCACTGTAAGTAGATAGACACTGGTAATCTCTCATGAAGTTTACGTTCTTTGCACAGAATATAGCATTTAAGTGTCCCAAAGGAAACCCTTACCTCTTTATAAGTTACTGGACATCAAATACTCATTGTCTTAGGCCCTAATGTTGTTAAAAACAGCATTTCCAAGAAATTAAGCGACTGCTTCTTTCTTGACTGTAACAGCAGGTCTTTCTTTTTGGTTGACAGAAGAGAAAAGTACTTAAGGCTGGGATGATGCTTCATCTAAGCAGCCAGATTCTAAGCAACTGACCTAATAAAAATAGCCTCTAGAGCAGGGTTCAAAAGATCAGGAGGCGCTGATAACTGAGGACCGATAAAGCTCAGCCTGTGTCCAGTGCTAGCCTGTCTCTGCTCCCCAGCATCTTCCAGTTAGCCTAGGGTTTCTCAGCCCCACCAGCCAGGCACAGATCTGATGAGCTACAGAAGAACAAGGGGTTCATAGACTCCTACAGTTTGTAACTCCACTTAGAATGAAGCTGGACTCTTTCCCCCAAAGAGACTCTAAATTGAGCACCACCTCCTTTTGGTAATGACCCCTTCCTAAGGCCTTTCAAAGGAAGAGCAAAGAGAATGTGTTATGATCAAAAGCATTCTGTATACAAACAAAACCATGAGTGCCCACCCCACTTCCTCTTCATGGTCTTTCTCTCGTCATGAACACAGTGAAGAAGAAAACAGCCTGCCCTGGTGCATCCTTTTTATAGCCTAAGCAGAGGCCATTTGCTATTTCAGTGGATCCTAAAAAAGGATGCATTCATCATGACAAATCCAAGGAAACTTGATGAACAGCAGCGACAAACAGCATCTGCTGCCACATAAAGTCTGCCCAGATACTCTGCATACTGTTTACTTCCCAGCATCCCTTGAGACCTCTGCACCAATCAGTGGAAGTTGGATGCAACCTCCTGCTGTAGGAATATGCATTGGATGGAAAATCCTGAAAGAACAGAGTAAATCACAGAGGCATAACTGTATTTCAGAGACCCTCTATAATGCCACTGGTGTGATTTCCTGATCAATGTAATGTGGGGCCTGTAGAGCCAGGCTTTAGCGTTTCTGGAGTCACTTCCTGTTTCCTAGGCAACGGCTTTGTGATGTTTCAGTAGTTCTTGGGTCTTGACCTGGTGCTACAATTCAACTCTGATTTCCTTCTACCAGCTCCATGAATGGTCTCCAAAGCAATGCTTTGCGATGCCATGACCACATCTGTAAGCAATGGTTTGCAATGCCACGACCACATCTGTATTTCTAAGTTTGTGCCCAGATTTTCAAAACTGTCATATTGAAGTTATCAAAGGCCACCAGAGCTGACAGTACAGGTGACAAGCTTGAGAAGTGAAGAAAAGATCAGGGACGTTCTTTAGGAAAGCAGCTATCTTGGATAATCGTGGTGACCTCTCTTCCCTTACCTTGCTCTGATAGGTTGAGATCCAAGCCTGGGGCCCAGAGCACTGCCATTCCCAGGGGAATTCTTCCTGGCTAATGCTGGGGATATGGAAGTTGTTCTTTGAGGCACCTGGAAGAAAACCAGAAATGAGAAATATTTCCCATAATATACAGGTGGTCTACTCTCTGAGGAGCCTTCTCTTCTTGGAAGACTGGCTACAAGTTACAGAAGCTGCCTCCTCTAGGGAAGAACTGCCCTCCACCCTTCTGTGAGACAATAAATCCCAAACAAAGCCAAAGGATGACCTGCTGTCAAAAGTCAAGGAGGGATGGTCCACAGCCATTAAAGTAATTTAAATCTTAAAAACAAAGGAGATTGCACTAATGATCTTGACTTACTGAGCTACAAGAAATGACTTTCTCTTGTTTGAACGGAAGTAGTGGCTCAGAGAAACCTCTTTGGAGTGAGTGCCCTTACTTCTGCAGAAGTGCATTATGTGGGAGCTGCATGGAGGATGCCACATCTTAGCTCATCACAACGAACAAATCGATTGTGAACGCTAGTGAAAAGCTAGGGTACCAGTCTAGACCTTGGACAATAAATCACATGCTGGGGAGCCTGGAGAACCTATCCCTTTATTATTTACTCTTTAATATGTGTGTGTGTGTGTGTGTGTGTGTGTGTGTGTGTGTGTGTGTGTGTGTGAATCCCTGCATGGATGGATGAATATCATGTACGTGCTAGGTGCCCACTGAAGCTGGGAGAAGGCATCAGATCTCCTAGAACCAGAGTTACAGGGAGTTGTGAGGCACCCAGTGTGGGTGCTGGGAAATGAGCCAGGGCCCTCTCAGAAGCAGAAGTGCTCTAAGCACTGGGTGGCCTCTGCAGCTCTTCTCAGTCTTACAGCGTGGGAACACAGACCGCTATACTTCCTAACCCAAACCGCAAACACCATGTTTGTGTGGCTAATTAGTAAATGCTATTTATAAAACAGAATTAATATTGAAAATACTGGAAGGGGATTCAAAATGCCTGTGCAAGTATAATAAGTGCAGGAGTATGTATTTCTAGCTCAGCTGGGAAAAGAGGAGAATTCAAATGTGGCTTTTCTCATAAAGCATACAGACACCTGCTTGTGGGGTCAGGTATTATGCAAGGGGAGTCCATTATTTACAAGAAACATATGAATATTAGTGCAGAAGATTACATTCAATGTAAGTGTCATCCTTTATTTTGAAAAAAAATTCTGTTATAATTAATGTTAACATAAAGTCGAATCAAGGAAGCAAAACAAAATGATCAAATTTATATAACACCTGTTCAAATTAAGTACTACTGCTGTTATTCCTACTTTTATTTATGTAAATAAAAACAGTTGTAGAGAAGGGCTCAGTAGATGACTAGGACCCTGACTATGTATCTTCCTAGCTTTACACACATCTACCTGGATGTTTCTAGAGAGTGGGTCAGCCACTTCCTCTTTCAGGTCTCAAGCACTGTTGCTGTTTCATTGTCAAAATAATGGCAGTCTTGCTGTGATTCCCACTTGAGAGGGAGATGATAACTGTTTGTAAATCATTAAAAACTATTTCATTTTTTTTCTGGAATTAATAACAATATTTTCAGGAAATTACGGGGCATTTCAATTATCCCAGTTTCATATGCTAAGCTCAGGAGAAAAGAGATTGATGGACCAGGAAGAATTCGTTACAAAATGTCTGCAGCATTTAAAGACAACCAGGTTGACTGTAGACACACTCCAGAACATCACTGGGGACAAACCACAGTTCAGTGAGGTAAAAGGAAATGAAAGAGTTCACGGTGGTTCTGTAGAGGGGAAAGCTAGCCATCCACTCTAAAGTTCAACCCTTTGATTGGTTAAGGCTGGGAAGAGCCTTCCTTGGCCTAGAAGGAGCATTCTTTATGTGGAGCCTACTTAAATGCCTAAAGGCAAGGCCAGCATGCATGTTTGCATACATGTGTTTTCATATGTGTGCATATGAGTGTGATAGCCATGTGCATGGATGCCTGTGGAGCCAGGGATCAATGCTGGGTATCTTCCTCAATATCTCTCTGCCTCTGCCTGAGTGTGTGCGTTTGTGCATGTGCGTGTGTGTGTGTGTGTGTGTGTGTGTGTGTGTGTGTGTGTGTGTG